ATGTTAAATTCGCGTCAGGATAAACACGCGGGTTGATCGCATCATGACACACAATACAATTGGAAAGGTTGTTGACTTTCAATATATTGGACGAAACATAGTAATATATTATTTTACCATATTATAATAATTAGTCTAAATCTAGGACGTCCACGTGGCAGCTTTATTGCGAAAAAAATTCATTTTTTTTACAATAAATGTCGCTAGGTGCGCTTAAACGTGATTAATGTAAGTTGATTTTTCTGAGCGATAAACTTTTTTAATGTAATATAAATTGTCATGTTGTGTACGATAGCGCAATAAATAAATATTGTATTCTACCACATGATAGTACTTTTATACTGATAATTAAAGCAACTCGTGCAAAATTATTCCCTAACCATTCAAAAATATAAAATAGTTTACTAGAAAAAAAAAGGCGCTGCCTTGCAGCTTAAGGCTAGAAAAATTTCAACGCGGCTAATAGGGCCGTGGTAGTATAATGGTCAGTGCATTCGCCCGGATAGCGAAGGATGCGTGTTCGAGTCCCGTCCGCTGCCTGGTCCGCGTGGATTTTTTTCTAGTAAACTTTTCTTTAGATTTAAACATCTAGCAGTTAAATGCTTAAAAAATAAATAAAATCATAACTATAATTGCTATTTCTTCTTTCAAATGTTTAATACTTGAAAAAGTATTCATTTGACATTATGGGTTACCTACAATGCGAAGAGATGGCGCTGCCTTGCAGCTTAAGGCTAGGAAAATTTCGACGCGGCTAATAGGGCCGTGGTAGCATAATGGTCAGTGCATTCGCCCGGATAGCGAAGGATGCGGGTTCGAGTCCCGTCCGCTGCCTGGTCCGTGTGGATTTTTTTCTAGTAAACTTTTCTTTAGATTTAAACATCTAGCAGTTAAATGCTTAAAAAATAAATAAAATCATAAATATAAAATATCAAAAATGCATAACGTTAATATTCAAGTTTTCACTTCTGCCGGCACTCCCGGACTGCAACCCGTCGTTTTTTTTTTTTCTTATTTACTCACTCTTATATGAGGTTCATTAGCGTGCAAGATGGGTTTTCAGCCACCTGCTTTTCTAATGGAATCAAAAGAAATGTTTATAAAAGCCAGACACTTGCTTATTTAAACCTCGCCGCGTTTTTTCTACTGTAGCATGTCATACATACAGGGGATAAAGAAGAAGTGTACAGAAATCAAAAGCACAGTTAATTTGCGCGCGACCCAGATGGAAAGTTGGCGCGAATGTCAAGAGTTCCCGAGAATGGCTGCCTGTGTGGTTGGAAATAGTATGGCCGCATACGAAATATGCAAATAAATTTGAAAATAATATGTAAAGCCCACAAGGAAAGATTTTTTTATGAAATAGTCATGCCGGAACTTGACATGACAATTAGTATTCGCTATTTGTATTCGCGCGTTTCGTCTGCGATCGTTGAAGTCAAGCAACTTTCGCAGTGGTCGCTCATTGGATGAGTGACAAAAAAATTACCTATCTTCCGTGCTTCGAAAGGCACGCTAAGCCGTTGATCCCGGCTGCATCTGCCATCGTTAGCACCCACTAATCCGCGCTGGGCCCGCGTGGTGGGTTACAACGTTAGAAGGTTAGAACAGTCCGGCGAAGGAAGGAATTTGATCAGTAAAAGTCAGTAGTTTCTAGTAGTATCTGAGACCTGGATAGCGTTTCTACCCTCTATTGTATATAATGATATCATTGCTTCCACTCCGAAACTCGCAATGCGTATTTCAATAAGCATTTCAGGCCGACGCTTTTTCTAATTTTAAGTTCCAACATTTAGGTGACACTAGCTGTGCCCCGCGTTGTTACCCGCGGTTTATTATGAATATTTTCCCGCAGTAAAACGTAGCCTATGTGTTAATCCAGGGTGTCAGCTAACTCCATACCAATTTTTTATTAAAATCGCTCCAGCTGTTTAGACGTGAAGAAGTAACTAACATACACACTCACAAACGTTCGCCTTTATAATATTAGTGTGATTAACACAATGAATATCGCACAAAAAAAATAGCAATGGCAAGTAAGTATGTATTAATGCAGTAAAAACTTAAGTGGTAGCGAGTCTTAAAGAAGTCCATAGGTATTTTTTTTCCTTAGAGGCAAATTGTGATGTTGGAACGTGAATGTTTCGGCTCGATTTGGGAGACTCGTGTCGTGCGTGAGCAAGCCGAGTGGTGACCAAATATTCCGATCACCTTCCTAAGATAGGTATTAGAATGATCGGCATTGCAGAATAGTCGGCCGACTAGTCGGCTAGTCGCTTAGTCGGAAAATACTATAGTCGGCCCATCTCTACTCTAAACCATAGTTGGACAAAATTGCATGAGCGCAACCAAAATGAACTTAGTTGCTCTATGCTTTCAATAGCCCTTCGCTTAGTGTGGCGCTGTTGAAATGCATGTATCGATGTCGTCAAAACTCGCAATGCGTATTTCAAGCCACTTGCGCCATCCAGGGCCGGATTTAGGATTGTGGAGGCCCCCGGCCACTTAGGATTTGTATGCTAGTTAACCCATCGAAATTTTGTTATCTATTATCCTGTTGTGGAGGTCCCGGGCCACTTAGGATTTGCATGCTTGTTGACCCATCGAAATGTTGTTATTTCTTAAGCTGTTGTGGAGGCCCCTGGGCCACAGCCCCACCTGCCCTGCCTTAAATTCGGCCCTGCAGCCATTAAGCGATTGGGGTACTCTCTCAAGATGGGTAGTGAATTGGAAGTGCTTATCAGGGCCATTTGAGATTTTGATATTTCACTGATTGCCTGATTGGAATGAACAAATATAGATCAATGATTTCTGTTATTTAAGATTAATATAATCAAATAATCGTGTATGTTAGATGTTCAAAGTACTGTAGGCTGTAGGTAAAGATAAAAGAGCAAAAAAAATATCAAAGGAAAAGATGTTTACTAGTTGGAATTTGAAAGATTTTCTTTTCCGAAGTCTCTATTGTGGGGGCCCCCCGTTTGTGGAGGCCCGGGGCTTTCGCCCCGGTTGCCCTCCCCTAAATCCGGCAGTGGCGCCATCTAGTGATACTTGTTAACTCTAACTTTTGCGTTGTACCTACCTATATACACCCTTAGCACGACCAACCATTATCGAATTCGAATAGTTTGTGAGTCCAAAATCTCATTGTCAAATTTTGTAAAGAAACTTGAACAGCAGCGCCATAACGGATGTTTAACGACATTTCGTACTCGCAAACGATACGAATCCGATATTGGTACGTGGTACACATACTGTGTACTAAAATGTGTCTTAATTCGACAATGATATAAAATTCGTTTCTTTAGACGGCGGCGCGCGGCGGGCGCGCCAACCATTGCTAATATCCATATTTCAATTTAACAACCACGTCGAGACCCGAAATCCGTGCAAAAGAATTCATATTTAAGTGGGGAAGGAGAAAAAACAAAAGTCTCTCAACCCGAGGGAGGGAGTAATCTCCCCGAGAGGTGATATTCGAAAGATATGCAAATACAAGCGAGGTTTACGTCGCTCGTTAGTGTTCATCGGCTCGGCTGGCGCGCACTTGAGTATGCCTCCTGATGTTCGCTTATTATCTACGTTATCACAAATAATGTGACCGCCGCGCCCAACGAAAGAGACGGATCAAAATGAAAGCGTCATTTTTCGGGTTTACTCACGCAACCAGGATCAGCCCCCCTAGCATGAGTAACAAAACGCGATATGATAAAGCGATTTATCGACACTCAACTGTCAAACTCCATTGTAGTTTGACAGTTAATGTCGATAAATCGCTTTATCATATCGCGTTTTGTTAGTCATGCTAGGGGGGCTGAATAGCATCTTTAAAATATTTATTTTTATTTTATTTATTTATACTTAATGCACAAGTGTACAAAGGCGGACTTAATGCCATAGGCATTCTCTACCAGTCAACCATAGGGTGTTGTGGATAAATAGTGGTAGGGTGCACAAATTAGATGGAAAAAAAGACGAACAGATATAAATACGAAGGAGTCATATACATAAATAAACATACATATAAATTCACACATACATACATATATACATAGTATAATCGACCTCCGTGGTCGAGTGGTTTGTACGCCGCGTTTCATGGTGTCGCCGACTCGAGAGGTCCCGGGTTCAAATCCCGGTGGGGACAGATGGTTGTGTGATGAATACGAGCATTTGTACTCCAGTCATGGATGTTTAATATGTATTTCTATAAAAAAAAATATACTTATATATGTACAGTTTATGTATTCTATCCGTTACCCTAGTATCCCATATCACAAGCCTTATAGTGCTTACTTTGGGGCTAGGCTAATTGGTGTGAGTGTTGGAAATATAAAAAAAAAAAAATCATACATACTAAATAAATACATAATAATGACGACTAACGTTTAGGCTAGACTGCTTGTTCCTGTAAAATATCATGCACGCCATTCATTCAATAACAATAAATAAATAATAATAAATATTTCCAACATTCACACCAATTAGCCTAGCCCCAAAGTAAGCACTGTAAGGCTTGTGTTATGGGATACTAGGGTAACGGATAGAATACATATATAAGTATATTTATAAAGAAATAAATATTAAACACCCATGACTGGGGTACAAATGCTCGTATTTATCACACAAACATCTGCCCCCACCGGGATTTGAACCCGGGACCTCTCGAGTCGGCGACCACATGAAACCCGACGTATAAACTCCTTAGCCACGGAGGTCGTCATATAACAATAACAAGATACTTTTTAACGGGTTATTTAAAATAATATACAGTCTTATGACCTCAAAGCCTGAAAACGACGTAAAACGTTAAAAATAATGTTATTCTTTTTTACATAATAAATATGTAAAATTCTAAGCTTCAAACCTTCATAAATTTGCTAGGCCGCAGCGAATTTTCCTTCTCAAATTCGGAAGTACCTCTTCAAGAAGTCTTCATTACCGAGTAACCAATACTTTGTACATACATTAATCGTGAATATTTGTTTGTTTGTCCACAGACGTAATCGTCGCCACCTCGCCTCCCAACCGGCACAAGACTGAACCTGTGATATAGCAGACGGCCGCGCGCCCCCGCTGACAATAACCACTGGGCATTTATGGGGAACGGCCACACCTTTCATAAGGACAATTTATCAAAGTAAGTTAAAGGGCGAGGAGCTCGATGGCGCAAGTGGTTAGCGCGTTCGACTGCGATCGTTGAAGTTAAGCAACTTTCGCAGTGGTCGGTCATTGGATGGTCTCCGTGCTTCGGAAGGCACGTTAAACCGTTGGTCCCGGCTACATCTGCAGTCGTTAGCACCCGCCAATTCGCACTGGCCCCCGTGGTGGGTCATGGCCTGATCTCCCTATTCCATCCATAGGGAAGGCCTGTGCCCAAGCAGTGGGGACATTAATAGGCTGATGATGATGAAGTTAAAGGAAAGGGACCAAAGCCAGCTCCACATATCGGCACTAACGTTGAGCATCATCACTGTATTTCCATGAGTCATAAAATCAGAGATGAGTAAATCCGTAGGAAAACCAAAGTAACCAACATTGCTCGAAGGATTGCTCTGATGAAATGGCAGTCGATGGAATACGTATACGTAACGAGAAGAACTGTGTTGTGCTGTTTTAAGCGGAATGGTTCTAGCATTGCGCCCGCGCACCGGACGACGAGGAGAGCGATGGCGCAAGTGGTTAGCGCGATCGGCTGCGATCGTTGTAATTAAGCAACTTTCGCAGTTGTCGGTCATTGGATGGGTGACCAAAAAAATTCTATCTCGAATTCCTCCGTGCTTCGGAAGGCACGTTTAGCCGTTGGTCCCGGTTGCACCTGCAGTCGTTAGCACCCGCCAATCCGCACTGGGCCCGCGTGGTGGGTCATGGCCCAATCTCCCTATTCCATCCATAGGGAAGGCCTGTGCCCCAGCAGTGGGGACAAGAGGCTGATGATGATGATGATGACCGGACGATGCTCAGTGGGTAACCTCCCACGAGGTTGATCGAGGATCTGGAGAAGGACGGGAGAAGTCGATGGATGCGAGTGACTCAGGAGCAGGATATCGCTATCTCCCTACGGCTGTAGTGATCCTTAAGGAGATAGCCCTTTGCTCAGTAGCGGGCATCGTACAGCTGATAAGATGATCGTGTGGACTGATCGAAAGATTGCATTACGGGCCAACGCTTCATCTAATGCAGAGTTCCCCAAACTTTTTTGTGTCGTAGACCCCTTGCCATGTTTTTCCGTGTTGGATAGACCCCCTACTTACCTATTGATTTTTTTTCGCTGACGTAGACCCCTTGCAGGTTGTCATATACCCCTAGGGGTCGATATAGACCACTTTGGGAATCACTGATCTAATGATAAGTTCCAACATTTAGGCGACATTAATACCTCAATATGTGAAGCCGAAGTAAAGCACAAGCAACATTTACAGCATGTATAGTTGTTCTATGCTCCCAATATGCCCTTTGCTTAGTATGGCACTGTTGAAGGCACAGCACAGAACATAGAAACAGTTTAGAAGGGTGTTCATAGACCGTTTGTATGGGAACCGACTTCCACCTAATAGATAATTTACCAATCAGTGCTCACACTTGACAACAACAACACAACCAGAACCAAGTTATGAGCATTTGCTCTCACAACTGTGACGCGCCTGCCCCGCCCACAAGGCCATTCCTTTTTCCGTGCTCTGTGGTTAAAGTGCCGAAAACGCGGATAATTAAACAAAGTCGATGAAATTGCTGAAAGTTTCTGTTAAAAAAAGGAATTTCGTGAAAATCTCTTTTTATATCAAATCATCCTACGACATATAGGTATAATATAAATAATACACTGCTCTAATCCAGAATAATACAGTATGTATTTAAGAATTAAGTAGTAATTTTCTCCTGAATCCAAGTTTCCGAAACCAAAATCTTCTTAGTCTATCGATAGTATTTGATTAAGAGCTCTTAGACTCTAAACTCATTTATTCAGTCTAGGCTGTTGTTACAAGCTCTTGTGAAAGTCAAACGCTGCGCCATCGGTTCGTAAATCTACGGCGGGAGACCTTGTACTGAGAAGAACCGGCAAGAAACTCAGCAAGGGCTATTTTTTTCTCCCTGTTTTGTTTCATACAGTGTCGTCAATTGAAAGATGATATCAAAAACAGAAAACATGTGTTGATGTCAACTTTCATCACTTTTATATTGTTTCCATTTGTTAATTAAGCTCCTGGACGGACCTGGATGACTATTATGTTATAAGTGACAAAAAAGCAATAAATAAGAAAATCTTATATCTTTATATATATAATTCTTCTGTGAGTGTGTATGTCACTGAACTTCTCTTAAACGACTGGACCGATTTTGATGAAATTTTTTGTGTGTGTTCAAGGGGATCTGAGAATGGTTTAGATTCACAAAGACGTGTAGACAGGACAACGTCTGTCGGGTCCGCTAGTCTATATATATAAAACTCAAAGGTGACTGACTAACATAGTGATCTATCAACGCACAGCCCAAACCACTGGACGGATCGGGCTGAAATTTGACATGCAGGTAGATGTTATGACGTACGCATCCGCTAAGAAAGGATTTTGATCAATTCTACCCCCAAGGGGATAAAATAGGGATTGAAAGTTTCATAGATGAATGTCATTGTGTATAATACAAGCCTGAGAACAAAAACTGTAGTCTACACTTCAGCTCTACACCGAATCGAAGCGAGGGCGAGCCGCTAGTGGTAATATAAATCCAGAAATACAATAACAAATATTGCCCGTCAACCAACGACGGAGCGGTTTATTGAATATTCCGAAGAGCCACCATTCGCCGTGACACATTTTCCGTGATTGAAAAGGAATTGAAAGTCGTTTATTTGAATACGTTCAATAGGTTTTCCCCGTCTTTAGATGCCACCTGTCAAATGACATTGCAACATTTTGCCACCAGCTTTTTTACATTAGTCATTCATTAATTTAAAAACTTTTTAAGTTTTCTTTTTCATTTTGTTTGCTTTTTTTTTCTTGCTCCTCACAATTTGATCAGGAGTGAAATATAAACCAATTCATCAGCTTATAACATTTGTTTGCATAATCAAGGAGCCGCAAATCAAACGTAGACCACGCACAAATAATTATGAGTCGCAAGTATATTTTTTTATTTCGAAATCACTGAAAAAAAATCAAATGATCTGATCAAAAAAATCGGAAATGATCGATCACATAAAAAATACACATAACAAAATGGCGATTACGTAAATAACATTCACGACAAACCGTGATTTTGAAGAGAAAAATGATTTTTTACATTTTTACGAATGAAAAGTGTTGCCGAGGCATTTTTTATTTGATTTTAGAACTATTTGTGTTCTTTATAAAAGCATAGAAGGCATTGTTTAATCTTCATAACACAGAATATACACATTAATATTATATTGAGTGCACGTGCAGCGTGTTTGAATGTCCATTTGTGACTAAAGCGAATTGTGGACATGCATCACAATTTAAGCGGATCACTTTTGAGCCGCGAGTGCCGTATCTTCCCTTTTTGTTTTTAACCTAAGGTCTGGAAGGGTATTATCTCATGCTTTCCTAAGCTTGGTTTGTGGTCGTCCCAGGTAGGGGTGGTCCATGCCCCACGCGGCGCCAGCCACCGCCATGTCGGCCCCGCCGCGCCACCCGCACTTCTACACCGTCGAGGTCGGAGACACGCGATTCACCATCCTCAAACGGTACCAAAACCTCAAACCCATCGGCTCCGGCGCACAGGGTATCGTATGGTGAGTCTGCGAATTCTACTTTTTCAAAAACCTCAACTTTCCCTCTTTGATTTGTCGTACCAACATTTTTTCGTTAAAATGTTGTTGTTATTTAAAGCGAAGTTTTTACTATGTTTAAGATTATTTTCATGCAGTTTAAGGTTTCGGTATATGGGGTTAATGTGGAATACAATTTTAGGGTTTTTTAAAGTATTTTTCTGTAGTCTATGTATATTTTTGTTTATATAACATTCCACGTTACACAAACTGTTGTGAAGCCCTTTTTTAGTGGCGACACTCGCAATGGCAAATACAAGCTTCTGAAATGTTGTTGTTACATAAGTTTGTTTGTTTTCGTCCGAGACTTAAAATTATTGTAGTCTTAAATATGCTTTATGAATCGTGGGATTTTTTATCAACGTGATCTGAACCAATATAATTATTTATGCAACTTTTGTATATTATGTTATATAAGGGGTTTAAAACACTAATGCGGTGTTGATGATAATACTATTATGATACCACCCACAAGAGTGTTCTAGAACCTAATTTTTCTACAAACAGTTGCATACAAGACTTTATCTACACCTATGATATGAATCCATAAAAGATTCTGGAACCATGGGGCGTGCTAAGAGCTCAAAATTAATTAAAAGTTTCGGCGCTGTGGTAGTGAGCGCGCGTGAATGACAATGTTCTTTTTTTGAAATTCATAATATCACGCATCCAGCAGTGAAAATTGTGGCTGTCTGCTTAGCAAGCCCATGGCGCGAAAGGGATTTAAAAAGCGAAAGAGCGTTATGATGAAATTTATAAAGAAAATTGGATGTTTTAATGTTAGCAATAAGCTGACTGTTTCAGAATCTTAAATAGCAGTTTTAACGCATGCGTGTAGATAAAATAATTTAATAAATGTTGCCTTGATTGGATTTCGAATCGGTTCACGGCTATCTTTGCAAAACGAGAGAAATTCAAACTCCATTAGATTTTAAAAAATTAAAAACCCTCCTTTTCTATTAATAAATGTTTGCCACTAAATTGATAGAACTTTTATCATACACATTATTATGCTGCCTACAACATCACTCCCGTAAGCAAAGGGTTTGCTTGTGGACATGCAATGAAATATCAAAACCTTAAAAATTGTAAACATGGTAAAGACTTGCTTGAAACATGTATTATTATCTTTTTAGAATGTGGAGTCAAGGATATACAGTAAAATTGCTCTTAAGCTCGTTTTGCTTTCCAATGAAAGGGTTGTCAATGTCAAAATTCTTATCACCAACAAGTCCTTGACTCTACTACTGATCTGTTGTTTCATTATTTACTGCAATGGTACATACTGCGTTAAATATATTTTCATTTGCAACTTCTCATGTTACATCTGTATTTCTATAAATTGGTTTACTTTCGTGTTTATTTTCTCTCTATCTATATCTAGATATACACAAATTTGCACGCGATATATTTGCATGCATCAGCACTGCACTGTTCACTTTGCACACATAAAAATGAAGTGTTAGAAATAAGCAAGTTTGCTCGCCAAAATGCTGTAACCTTATTTTATAAGAAGTTACGACTAGTTCAGATTTTTGTAACAAGTACAAAGTTTTATCAAGTGAAGTTGATACCACGGTTTGTTTAATGAAAAACTGCGCGCATCTTTGCGTATTTCTGATGAAACTTTCGAGTTGTTGGACACATCTTGCACAGTATTTTAGAGGCACAGCTTTCCAAGTTGGACTTTGCAAGTTTCAAACTTAGCTCTGAAGTTTTCTTTAGGAGCTTGAACTTAGAATATTAATGTTATTTACTCAACAGTTCTTTTGCCTGTAGCCTGTAAGGTTGAGCCGATTAGAAGCACTGTTTCGGTTTCTAATCGCGATTACGGGAAACCAATTTAACACTCATGTGGTATTCATAATAATTTGTAACGTCAAAACACTGAAGTATTTAGGTCAGAAAATTAAATTAACGAAAAAGTCGCGTGCTCATCACATATCCTTTGTCTTAGAGGAGATACTACAGGAACACAACACCGTGTAAGATTGTCATATGGTGTATTTACAAACACTTATCAAATGAGACTAATGCTCCTAATGTTAAGCGTGACATGATACCATGCTAGATACCATTGCAGCCGAAGTTGCAGAGGTAGATGCTACAGCCCCTTTGCCTTGCGAGCCTTAACTGTATTCCTCTATCTCGCGAGTTCACTCATTTAAAACAGAACTAAATAATAGTGTTATTAAGCCGCAATTTGAATGTAGAGGATATTATGCCAGGCATTTTTAAATCTTCTGAAAGTATTGTCTACATTAAAATGGATGTACAACCGTCAATGGGCAAAAGCCGTCCATGCAATAACACAACGACTCGCGGCAGTGGTCGTTCCAGAAGAGAAAGAGTTCTATGCGCCCGCAGTAGCGATGCACGAGATGATTCGTTATGCGATACTGCATGAACATGCCTCTTCCTGTGTTTCTGTCTGTTGTAGCCAGCCATAGGCGAGAGCTCCAATTGGTGTGTTTCTGTTGTAGCTAGCTGATCGAGTTGTAGCCATGATTCAGTTTTACTCAGTCGCGCTGGGCGACGTGGTGTTCTGCGTGCCCACGCGCTACACAGAGCTCGTGCCGCGCGGCACCGGCGCGCAGGGCGTCGTATGGTAAGGCGTCCCGACCGCCACACGCCAATTGTGCTCCTAACATTCTGAAATGAAAGTACATACTCATATGTGGCGAAATTTAGCACTCCTCAGTTACATCGTCTTATACCTTAGTGGGTGTTAGACAAATTCTGAGTACTAATGACAGTTCTTCAAAGATCTTCCTCCAATTCTTGCGTTTTTTTGGGAATCGCGATTGGATTAAAGTTTGTGACGTACATTTTTTATTATCTAAGTTCTTTATTTGAACTTTTTTTTGAAACACAGCTGCCGAAATTAATGGAGGAATATATTAATATAGTTAATTAGCAAGATATACTATCTTAGTAATTGATGTATTTAGCGATGATGTAAATGAGGTGTGCTATATTTTACTACATATACATATGTTTGCGGCAACACTGTACGACATATTTTCATAGAAAGAGCGAACGTATTATCAGTTACGTTTGTGTTATATCTGATCTAACGGTGAGTTGTGATAGTTTTTATACAATTTCAAATCTTAAATCAGTGGAAGACTGGGATTTGAGCGGATAGAGCTGAAATGAGCATTCTGAAGTTTGATCGATTTATTAACGAGATCGCATTTTAACAGATCGCCACCGCGCCGCAACAAATGATCGCTTTCGATAAATAATTTTAACTAAAAGTGTGGTAAAAATTGTGAAGCGTGGAGTTTGATACTAACAAACTATCATAACAAAGATAAATCCTCCATAATTAAAAAGCATAAACTTAAATAAAATCCCTGTCAATATGGCGTCACTTAATTAATTGATTCGTTTTAAGGATGATTGAAGTAACAAACAAATTTCGCCTTTTAATTCCATATAACTCTGTCCAATTTGGTTTGTACCCGTCGTGGTCTCGTCGTCGCCGTAGAAATGGAAATTGTTACCGAATTTAATTTGCAACTTCAAGTCATCTCGGATTGACCTGACGGGTACAAGGTCTCCCAAGCCCAAATCTATTAAGATTTATATTGGCCAAATCTTGGATTTTAGACAGTCGTCATTTTGTCATTTTACGACTTTCCTACTTAATCTTCAAATCATATTAACCTTTAGGGATAAAGAAATATCTGGGATCAATTGTAAATATTGAAGGATACTTCAATACAAGGAAGTCAAAACTTGACGTGCCAAGGCCAGGTTAAGTTGATTAGTGACAAACTATTCCATTGTATTAATGTTTTACATCAAAAATGAGATTTACGATTATTTTGACTTCATTTTGGTTATTTACTTACTTGTGCTAAAGGTGAAAGAAATCTGTCTATGTAACCATATCAAGTATTTCATCAAATCCTCCAACATTTCGTTATTCTTGTAATGATTATAAGGAGAATATACTTCCATCATTCCATTTAGTCCAGACAGCTTTGGCTCAGTTTCTCGTGAATGGAATGTCCTTCCTCTAAATAAATGTAGGTCGTGTTCTGCCAATACGAAACTTAATCCGCATACGACAAGCTATAATCCTCTTTCCGATACAATCCTATTCTCTGTCAAAATGATACAATTTTTGCTGGTATTATTCTGAAAGGCTAATAGTTCCGCCGTGTTTTGTTCATATATTCTCACTCAAATGCCATTTATAATTCAATGATCAGAGGCAAAACATAAATTAACTGATCTAAATTTATTCTTCGTTTATTAATAACGGGCTTGAGTTCTACTGGTTTTACTTCTGGCATTTAAACATAACAATTGTTTTCATTCTCAGAAGTACCACAAATAATGTTGATTAATTAAATTCGTATAGCATTATTATAATGTTTACCGTTGCCCAGAATTTCGTCTACTGGTTAACAAGTTTAAATAAGGCACTTAATATGTATAGGATAATTTATTACTATAAATTTTACATTTCTAAAATTGTTAGGATAACAATTATATTTTTATTTTCTCGTCAGTGCCTATCGATATCCACAGCGGTGTGTAACCCATGTGTATCATCATTTTTCTTTCTATCTGACTCGCTCTAGAGTGCTAAACTTGTGTGGAAAAAAATATAATAACCAATTTATTGACTAAATTTACAAAAATTACCGCGCGTATTCTATGTATTTAAAAACATATTTTACCTTAGTTAAGTAAGTGCTCCTCGTTTACACCAAGAAACATGTTATATAAAGTAAGGTCACCTGGGGAAATTGTAGCCATGGAGTAATTGTAGTTGTATCCAATAAATCGCTACTGGTTTCGATTCTGGAAAGATTCTCTAAACCTAAATTTGACAATAGTGTATCCTTGTCAGTATCTATACAGAATGAAAAGGAGAGACTGATGTTAAATTTAGCTTTAAGTTTAGAGAAGTATGCCAGAATTGACACCACTGTTTCGCTTTTAAAATAACAAACAGCTGTGGCTCTGAAGAGTAACTTTAGCTCTACAGAACCACAAATGTTTGTTATTTTAGAAAGGTAACGAGTTATTTGACATATCTACCTTAGCCCGATGGGTACATGTGCGAGGGACCTAACTAGTTGTTTTTATTTTACTAAACTTGTAGAAAACTTTTTTATTCTTTCGTACATCACAATTATTGTCTATTTTTTTAATTTGTTAATTTAATAGTTAAGCTCTATATTAGTATTAAACACCTTATTCACATCACATGTTTTGTTCATCCAACAAGTTTCATACAAGTTTTGTATAATACGTACATTTAAACCCCATACTTTGTTGTAAATGAGGAGTTCCTAGTTTCTTTTAACTAATGCATGGTAGTGGTGAATGATGTATTGTTAATATCTTAGCAATATGACATTGTCATAAAAGGTGCGTATCGTGGCTTCTGCATGTGTGTTAACTGCTTGTAAATCTTCTTCATTGTTATGGATGTCTTTTTACTGCTTTAGTGGATGTTTGTGGATCGTATTTTATTTTACAAGGTTGTATTTTTTTGTATTCTTAGTTGAATGTTCTTTGTGATAGCTTATCAGCATTGTATTTTATGATTTCTCTTATTATTGCCTCCCCTGTATTTTATTAACATCCCTAAGTACTTAAGAGATTTGCATTTAAAATTTCAGCAACATTATTTCGACAGTTTTTATTGAACTGTTTGGAACCTGAAATAAAGTGATTTTGTTACCTGTTTCAGTGTTAATACAGATAACAACACTGCCTCTATACTAAATCCGATTTATTTCAAAAAGTACACTAAAGTTGAACCTGGACTAACTGATGCTGTCATTTTTGTTTGTTAAAAAGAAGACAGAGATATTAGGTTTAAACCAGGACTAACTTTAGTTCGCGTTTTGGAACTAGGCGGAGTGTGTCTAGTTAGAGTTTTGAAAGTATTTGCAAACTAAGAGCAGCTCTGTTTTACTCCATAATTTTGGCAACATCGCTACAATTCAGCATAAAAATACAGAGTGACGCGTATGAAATTATATAATTATTTTTTATTAAAACAAAACACTGTCTGTCCAGTAATAAAATAATATTTGCAGAAAACAATAGGGATGAGACTATCTTTTTTCTTCTTCGTTTATCAGGTAGATCATGAAAAAGTATGGGACACGTATTTTTTTTTCTTTTTTCACGTAATATAAACATTGCAGGGATATATTGATTTAAACGTCACGTTTTGGTACACTTTTAAGTGAAAATTCACTAAAAAGTGACGTCACGAGCCCCTACTCCCAAACTTTGATGCGCTATAACTTTATCATTTTTTGGTTGATTGCCCAAAGAAAATATACATGTCCATTATTTTTTGATTATCTAACTGATGGACTAAATAGAGTTTCGTTTACTGTACCCCTTCATCACCCCTATTACAGTGATATTTCAAGCATGACAAAACCATGATAATGAAAAATACAAAAATTAAGGCTATAACATGTTACTTTTCCTTTTTCAATTTATATAGTAAATTAGTAACTGGCAAAATGAATTAATAAATTTGACAATAACGTTACCAGATCATTTTATCTGAGGGCAACCACAAAACAATATTTCCGAAATTTAAAATGAGGAAGGAAAAATTATAAGTTTTAAGGATTATCTTTAAAAAAATGTTGTCATTTTTCCTCGTTTTTGATAAAGTCTTATTTATACGTTAACTTATACGCTTAACGTAAAACAATCCCATACGCATTATTTTGATAATTGGAGTAAGTAAAAGAGTCGTACTAAGTTTGTGGAAACTCGAAACTTCTACCAGAGACTCTGTGTTCATTGCGTATTTAGTGGGAGTGTTACTGATCGGTGTCGTTTGTAGCGCGGCGTACGACACGGTGACTCAGCAGAATGTCGCGATCAAGAAGCTGTCGCGCCCCTTCCAGAACGTGACTCACGCCAAGCGAGCATACCGCGAGTTCAAACTCATGAAGCTCGTTAACCATAAAAATGTAAGTATGTTTTGTGATAAAAATTAACTTGGTTATTAACAGTGGCGGCGCTAGGCGTCGGCGACGTCGGCCACCGCCGACGGCCTCGCAAAAATTTTTTACAAGTTACCTATTTATTTTCGTTTCTCCTGGCCTGGCTTAGGTAGCCGACCCCGAACAATTCGGGGAAAAGATAAGCAGATGATAATGACTTTTATTATTTTCGAACACGTGCGTGATGGAAGCGAGTAGTACTTTACGGGTATTCAGAATCGTCTGTCTGGCAACACCATTTTTGTAATTAAATTTCTATGTTTGTAATAATTTTTTGTCATCATTTGATTATCAACAATAAAACTCGTTTACTCATACGTTATTTTATAATTTGGCTCACTTAATTTAACGGTTTTTTACTGCGAAGTAAAATAGGCCTCGCGAACTTGATGTCGCCGATGTCCACTAGCCTAGCGCCGCCACTGATTATTAAACCACAAGCCAAACTTTTAAAATCGGTAATAAAAAAAAAATGTGTGTGCACATATCTACATCAAACATATGAAGTTAAACTTCTTTTCTTAAATAACCTAACTTTAGATTGTCGCGTGTGACGCTCGTAGCATTTCTGCCTTCGCCGAGTTACCCTCCAACTTATGCAACACATGCTCGTCGGGAAGTGCTGCGCACGCATCCCACACACACACGCACACACACACACACACATATGTATATAAATAATAAATATTTCCAACACTCACACCAATTAGCCTAGCCCCAAAGTAAGCACTATAAGGCTTGTGTTATGGGATACTAGGGTAACGGATAGAATACATATACTTTACGTACATATAAGTATCTAATATATAGAATTCTCGTGTCGCGGTGTTTGTGATTAAACTCCTCCGAAACGGCTCGACCGATTTTCGTGAAATTTTATATGCATATTCAGTAGGTCTGAGAATCGGACAACATCTATTTTTCATCCCCCTAAATGTTAAGGATAATACACCCTTTTTTTTTCAATTTTAGATTTTTTTTTTATTTTTTTATGATACATCATACAAAAATAAATATAACCCAAAATTTTCGCCCTTCTACCACCAACCCCTATTTTTTTATGGCGGTACGAAATTCGCTGCTAGTATTTATATAGAAATACATATTAAACATGACTGGAGTACAAATGCTCGTGTTCATCACACAAACATCTGCCCCCACCGGGATTCGAACCCGGGACCTCTCGAGTTGGCGACGCCATGAAACCCGACGTACAAACCACTCGGCCACGGAGTCGTGTATTTTTCCATTTACGACCCAGGCCGAAAATAAGTTTCACTTCAAAAAGAGTTTCCTCGCCTGGGAATCGAATCCAAGCCGCCCGCATAGCAAGCGAGCGTTCTACCATTGAACCACCGATGCTTGTTGATAAGATCTAAATTATTTAATAACAATTAAAAATGGTAGTGCGGCATGCTTAAGATGAACGACAAAAATTGTAGCGATGTTATATAAATTTAACTTTTAAAGGGTGGCAACTGGCAAACAAGTATATGACCTGCCTGATGGTAAGGGGCACCATAGCCTATAGACGCTCCATCATCATCATCATCATCATCATCATCAGCCTATTAATGTCCCCACTGCTGGGCCACAGGCCTTCCCTATGGATGGAATAGGGACATTGGGCCATGATCCACCACGCGGACCCAGTGCGGATTAGCGGGTGCTAACGACTGCAGATGCTGCCAGAACCGATGCCTTAACGTGCCATCGTGGATAGAAGATTTTTGGTCACCCATCCACTAACCGACCACAGCGGAAGTTGCTTAATTTCAACGATTGCAGCCGAACGCGCTAACCGCCCGCGCCGTCGAGCTCCTCAATATAGACGCTTGCGACACTAAAAATATCACCGTTGCAACGCAACGTTTCTAGTGAGTAAGATTCCAGAGCTCCTTAGGGTAGGGGTATGGGTCAAGGTAGGCGTTCCTCACCAAAAAGTAGTGTTATTTTACTGTGATCGTCTATAAGGTCGGGGTTTTTTTATTTTTTTTATAGTTAGGTCCGACAAATGACTCCACCCCACCTGATGTTAAGTGAAGGTGAAGTCCAGACGCGAAGATAGCTGATACAGCAGTTCTACCTGCCACACCAGCCATCCTCACCCTGCCGGCCTGCATGTTGCTTCTTCACGCCTCTTTTAAAGGATCCCAGGTTGTAAGAGGGAGGGAACACGTGAGCGGGCAGAGCATTCCATTTACGGATAGTGCGACAAAGAAATGAGTCACCAAATTTCTTTGTACGCGTTGGAATTGTGGCCACAGTAAAACGGTGACAACGTAGGCCAGCGCGCTTGGTCCTCTGAAGGAAAGGGGAAGGTGGGATAAGAGAGAATAACTCCTCAGAACACTCGCCGTGGTACAAACGACAGAACGCGCTTAGTGACGCCACGTCACGGCGTAATTGAAGAGGCTCAAGGTGTTTAGTCACCTCATTAATGTTAACCTCTGTTACTTCATTAATCGAACGGAAAGTCCGCTATGCCTGGCCTCTCTAAGCTTAGTTTAAACTAGAAACTAGCCAGTGTCCGTGACTTCGCCTGCGCAGTGACTGAGCATAGGTTTTGGACTCCTAGGCCTAATTTTGTCACCTCCTTAGCAACAAAACCTCCTTCTGACCTTTCTTTCTAAAATAAAAATAATATCTTTTGTAAATTTTGTCTGACCTTTATTTCAAATGTGTAATCTCTTTTCCCTGTGAGAAGTACATTTTTCTAACAAGGCAAATAAAGCCGCCTCCTTATCATCCCCCAGCCTCTAAATCGGATTGTTGTCAAAAATAATACTCGTTTTATTTGAAAATTGCTCAAGAAATTTGCCGTGGTCTACTTCCGGACGGTAAATATTATTCTTTTTTTTTATAATGATGGGTCCATTTCTCTTCTCGATATTTAGCTAAAGCGAGCAGAATCCAGCTGCGAAGGTAGCCGATGCGTTAATATCTTGCCAGCCTGTCTCTGCCCATGGTCCATCTACATAGTTCACCTGAGTGTACCAAGGGCAATTAATTCTTCCCGTAGTTCACCTCAAGATGACTGGGTGAACTGGCTTTTCTTTTTGCCCGTGGTTCGCCCTAGTTCATTTGTCTGTACCAGGTCCACCCTCGTCTCGCTGACCTGAAACCGATTCCTTCACCCTATAGAACTCTGGCTATCTTACTCAGAATAACGACATAATACTATATAAGTGTTTGCAATCTTCTAGAACGGGGAATGACCTACTCCAGACTGTCTCTCTCAATTCGAATGACAAATTTACTGTGCTCTACCTGACAAGCTTATTACAAGACTAATATAATGGTCCACCCTACTCTCTTTGCCGATCCAAACATTTCTCCTACTCCGCAAAGGTCTAACTCCCTGACTCTATGTGCTAAATATACAAAATATAGCCATTTGACTGAATTCTTAAAAAATGAAAAGATCAGGTGCGTTGGAATTAGAAGTTGTTTCTTTGAAACGGTTCATCAAAATCGGTTGGGCTTTTGCTTGGAAGCGAAACAGACATGGTTACTAACCTTACTGGGGCTGGATGAAATGATCGGGGAGGAATCTTCAGATAGCTTTTCCTTTACTGCCTTTTCCAGTTATTAAAAAAAGGTTAACTTATGTATTAATAATATTGCTTTAGCTAATTCATAGTACTTTCACATTATTTTTCCGGATATTGATCACTAACATACCTTCTCATCATCCAGATAATCGGCCTCCTGAACGCGTTCACGCCACAGCGCAGCCTCGAGGAGTTCCAAGATGTGTACCTGGTGATGGAGCTGATGGACGCCAACCTGTGCCAGGTGATCCAGATGGACCTGGACCACGAGCGCATGAGCTACCTGCTGTACCAGATGCTATGCGGCATCAAGCACTTGCATTTGGCCGGCATCATACACAGGGTTAGTAATATTTCTTAAATTCACACCAATTAGCTTAGCACTGTAGGTTTGTGTTATGGTATAAGGATAGAATACATATATAAGTATATTTATATAGAAATACATATTGAACATTCATGACTGGAGTACAAATGCTTGCTGCACCAGGATTCGAACCCTGGACCTCTGAGTAGGCGCCACCTAAAAACCTCTCGCGCCACGGAGATCGTCAAAGTAAGGATAAATATAACTTTTTTGTGTATTAACTACCTAGTGGTTCCTCATGTGGAATTTGTAGGAAACCAATATACGCGGAAAGACCTTTATACTTTCTGGGTGATCTTTGGCCGCTTAAAAAGATATCCTGTATTAGCTCCTTGTTATATTTGTCTTCAGCCTATAGCTATCGAATAACCAACCGGCCATCTATCTCGACCTTGTGCTATTCTTTAGCAGTGCTTTCCTGCTATCCTGATATTCATGATATGTATCGTCTTTTCATCGCATGGTCATGGTCTACCTGTTACCAGTGCTCGGTCCCCACTCCAGTGCGATACTTCGTTAGTATCTATCCATCACAAACCAACAGTATACTTTTGTAACTTTTCTTTACGATAGATGCTTTCCAGATTATTTTAGCTAAGTAGTCTGTGCTTCGGAACGCACTTAAGCCGTTGATTCCGGCTTCACCCATGAATCCACGCCGACCCCGATGGTGGATCATGATGCATTTTCCCTATTTCAATCATACGGAAGCCCTTTAACCCTGCAGTAGGAAAAAATGGAAATGTCACATCCTCGCAGTCATCACCAACCACGAATCCACACCAACCTCGATGGTGGGTCATGGCACAATTAACCTATTTTAACCATACGGTGCTCGGTAGAGGAGCTCGATGGCGCAAGTGGTTAGCGCTTTCGTCTGCGATCGTTGAATTTAAGCAAATTTCGCAGTGGTCGGTCATTGGATGGGTGACCAAAAATCTTCTATCTCGCGTTCCTCCGTGCTTCGGAAGGCACGTTAAGCCGTTGGTCCCGGCTGCATCTGCAGTCGTTAGCACCCGCCAATCCGCATTGGGCCCGCGTGGTGGTTCATGGCCTCTCCAATCTCCCTATTCCATCCATAGGGAAGGCCTGTGCCCCAGTAGTAGAAACATTAATAGGCTGGTGATGAACTGTCACACACGAATCATATAGATGATTGTTATATTGTCGGCAGGATCTGAAGCCGTCCAACATAGTGGTGAAGAGTGACTGCACGCTGAAGATCCTGGACTTCGGACTGGCGCGTACTGCTGGCACCACGTTCATGATGACACCGTACGTCGTCACGCGATACTACCGGGCGCCAGAGGTAAGCTATGCTCTATCCTTTTTTTTTGTGACGCAGGCAAAAACTCTGTTTACAGACGACGGCGCCTTTGAGAGGCACACCGCCGAACACCTGGCTACCGCAAACCTTACGAGCCCCCACAGTGGCTGCCCACTGAGGACCCCGACTCTTACGGGCGCTTTACGGCATAATATCCGCTAAAAAACCTGCGAATACCCTCTAAGCTGCTTAGTGCGAGACCGATCGCCGTTTAGGGATTCTTCCGCGTCAAGCTATGCTCTGTCCTGGATTTCTGTTATACCTTATACTAATGCTGGTAACACTTCTGTATCTGTCTTCCCGGCTATGATCACTGTCTCTACTGACATTTGCCATGTCCATTATGTATTTTTTCAATAAACTAACATTTGATCCAAAATATTTTGTTTGCTAACCTAGGGTAGGTTAGGTCTTTACAAATAGTAAAAAAATCTGGGGTTTATTTCATTAAAGTTTAACCAGATATACTAACTGATTTTCTTCATTATTTCCCGTTTTCGAGGAAAGAATCCTGATTTTTACTCAAATGATTATAAAGTCTCGCTTTGTCCGAAACAAAATCAGGTAAATCTGCTTCTTTTACCATCCATCATAATCAAAGTGTAATTTTTCTTATTACAAAGTATAGTTTATTGGTTTTTATTTGAATATGGGTGCTTCGCCTAAAGTCTCTTGCAGTATTTGGCGCGACATAGTTGTCAATTATGGCATGATTCTCTAAACTTAAAACTAAATTTAAGATTAGTCTCTCCTTTTCATTCTGTATAGAGAATGACAAAGATAGACTGTTGTTAAATTAAGGTTTAGCTTTAGATAATCATGCCAGAATCGACACCATGTAGCATACTCAGTAAGGTTTATATATAGTCTATACACCCCAGCAAACTTTAGGAGCAAAGACTATAGAAAAGAAAGCCTACATTGCCAAGTAACAATTACATACAAAAATGTCTATTGCGCAAGTTTATTTGTCTGCTACCGATACTATAATATCAAGGATCTTGATGGCGAAAGTGGTAAGCGCGCGCAGCGATCGCTGAAGTTAAGCAACTTTCGCAGTGGTCGGTCATTGGATGGGTGACCAAAAGTGTATTATCACGAGCTCGTCCGTGCTTCGGAAGGCACGTCGAGCCGTTGGTCCCGGCTGCATCTGCAGTCGTTAGCACCCACCAATCCGCACTGGGCCCGCGTGGTGGGTCATGGCCCAATCTTTCTATTTCATCCAAAGCGAAGGCCTGTGCCTGTTCGAAGGCCTGATGATAATGGTGACACTGGAACATCTAGTGCGACAAGGATCTTTATGAAGGTGGCGAAAATTGAAACTTATAACGCCATCTTTGTAAACGTCATATTTTGTATGTCATCTACGTAGACAGTGGCGCCCTCCCTGAACTGTCACTCGCATTCATAAAGATCCTTGTCGCACTGTAGTTGTTATTTATTTATTTCACATTTCTTATGTACATTATTTATTATAAGGTCTTTCATAGTTAATAGTGAGTGGTACATGACTCAACTTATATTAGTAAAAAAAAGAAATAGAACATACTACACAAGGAATAAGCCTAAGAATAGATAGATACGTATTCACTTCCACACGAAAGCCAGAGGAAAGATGTTACACATCAATAAATTGTATGGTGTCGCCGCAGGTGATCCTGGGCATGGGGTACACGGAGAACGTGGACATCTGGTCGGTGGGCTGCATCATGGGAGAGATGATCCGCGGCGGGGTGCTGTTCCCCGGCACCGACCACATCGACCAGTGGAACAAGATCATAGGTATAAACCTCGACATTCATTTATTTTATTTCTTATTACACTTATTAGAACGGAATAAAGTTCACTTATACTAATCAACAGTTATAAATTCTTTGTTTCTTAAGTTTTCACGCACATCACTCATTAAATAAAACTAGTTTTTACGGGTTAATGCACGAAACTTTATTTATTTATTGACGTTTCTGTCTGCAGTGTTAGTCTGCAGTGTGTGAATATGCATTAGGGCGACCAAACCATTACATTACATTTGATAAACCGCAGATCCTTGCAGCTGCGCGGCGGTTCGTTCCTCGAATGATGTGCGAGGCTATTGAGATTAAAAAATATCCAAATTTCAATAGGGAAGATGGTTGGTATATACCACCAGCTTGGGAACCTATTATACAGGAGATAAAATCCCAACCCCGAGCACACACTGCAAGACCATCAGATACTATTAGTTCTTTTTGTTTGCATAATTTAACATAAGAAGGAGATAGAAAGCCTCTCTTGAGTTTGTTTCGCCGGTTCTTCTCGGAAAGGTCTCCCAATTTTGGAACCGGTGGCAGTTTACGGTAGTTAGGGTCAAATGAATAAACTTAAAATTACAAAAAAATATTTTAAATAAAGTACTTTATTAACTAAATTAAGTAATAAATTTATACATAGACAATAAAACTTTAAAAATCGAACAATGAAATAACCGAACGCTCAATAAAAGTCTTTCGAAGGTAGCTCGACAAAATTAAATAAAAAAATGATTTCGACGAAGCAGCCTGTGAAGGCTGCGAAACGTCAATAAATAAATAAAGTTTCGTGCATTAACCCGTGAAAAACTAGTTTTATTTAATGAGTGATGTGCGTGAAAACCTAAGAAACAAATATGTTTCTAACCATAGTAAATGTATGAAACTGATGTACTTGTGGCGCGCCACGACACGACACGACACTAATATGTTTCTGGCTTAACGGTTTAGGGAGGGCGCTACTGTCAACGTTTTTTTTTTTTGAAGTGTAAACTCCTTTGCGTGGCGTTGTACACTTTTTTTTGTATGGGTAAAAAATGTTAAACTCGCCTCAGGTGAAACACGTGGGCTGATCGCATCATGACACACAATAAAATTGGAAAGGTTGTTGACTTTCAATATATTGGACGAAACATAGTAATATTTTATCGTATTATAATAATAAGTCTCCATCTAGGACGTCCACGTGGCAGCTTTATTGCGAAGAAAATGCATTTTTTTACAATAGATGTCGCTAGGTGCGCTTAAATGTGATTCATGTCAGTTGATTTTTTTACAATAGATGACGCTAAGTGCGCTTAAACGTGATTCATGTAATTTTTTCTTTCTTATTCTGCATCATAGCTATCTGTTTTTAGCAAAAATAAGACCTGCTTTTGTCTGATAATTATCTGGATTTTGTTTAATCGCAGTGAGCCTTTCCAAATTGTTGGGAGACTCACTTCCTGTGGCAGAATCTATCTAAGAGTGTAGGGACACTATGTCTTTTTAATATTGTGTGCTGTAGAGATCACACCTGGTTTGACAGTCTACGTAAATGGCATACAAAATATGACGTTAACAAAGACGGTGTAGTAACGCCCGTTGCGTTACGGCCTCTTTACTTGTGTAAACTCTTTGTTCATGTAATGCCTACGGCTGGCAGTTATATTAAAAAAGTTAATGTCATTATTTTAAAGATTTAATTTAAGATTGAGACACGGCGGGAGACCTCGTACTCAGAAGAACCGGCAAGAAACTCAACAAGGGCGGCTTTTTCTCCGTGTTTTATATAAATAGTCGTCAAATTGAAAAATGATTTCATTAAGAGATAACTCATGAAGTCACTTTTCCTTACATTACATGAATCTCCAAGACCACATCTGATGTTTTCGTTGTAATCCCTGTCACATAATATGTGACAGATTCCATAAAATCCAAGATGATTGTTAAATCGTTAACACCCATTAATCCACACTACTTACACGGTGACCTCATTCTCCTAGCGTGATTTCTTTAACAAACAAGGTCTTTAATCTTCCAGTTGGGCAATGGATCTTGTTATATATGTAGGTATAAGCCAGCAACGGTGTCGCGTCCCTACCAATAAACAGTGCGTGTTTAACCACAGCTTGTTTCACTTGTCTCCGTATAGCTCCGATACACATCATTGGCGACGATTTTTACGATACCCGTATTAGAGAAAAAAAAAATGTCCGGTTCGTATTTCGGAGTATTGAATACATTTGATCATAATTCCCAAACGTGGGACTCCTATAAAGGAAGGATTTTGCAATATTTTATTGCAAATGACATCGATCAACAAACGGATGCCACAGGAAGAAAAAGGAAAGCGATCCTTCTCAGCGCACTCACCGAGGGTACCTACAAGCTAGTGGTCGACTTATCGTTACCCAAGGACATAGGAAATGTTCCGTTCGAAGACATCATATCTGTTCTGGACGCTCATTTCACTCCCAAACAGATTGGGTTCAGTGAACGACATAACTTTTACTCGGCTACACAACGAGCGGGTGAATCTCACACCCAATGGGCAGCGAGACTGCGAGGTCTGACGTCACGGTGCGGATTTTTGAATGTAGAAGAAGCACTAAGGGATAGATTTATCATGGGAATGCGTCCAGGAATTGAAAAGGAAAAACTGTACGCGCATGACCTTAATGACCTCCAGTTGGCAAAGGTCGTCGAACTGGCAGAGAAGTTGAGCAGCGCGCGTGCGGCTGCCGCTGCTGCAGTCAGCACGATCGACGGGCCCGGGATTACGACAGTTCGCGATAGTCCAGTGTTCAAAATTTCAAAAAATCATAATAACCGAAGTGAACAGAAACTTAGATGTGGTGTTTGCGGGTACACAAATCACAAAACGTCTGAATGCAAATTTTCAAATTACGTGTGCAAAAAGTGTCACGGAAAAGGCCATTTACGTAGAATGTGTAAAGTTAAATACGTAATGGATTGCGGTGACCAGGGTGAGGATGGCGAAGGCGATGACGGTAATGTATTTCACATTCATTCAAAGCGTGGTGAACCAATGGTAGAAACTGTGTTTATTAGTAACATGCCATTTAAATTTGAGATTGACAGCGGGTCCGCAGTAACTGTTATTTCCGAGCACTATTACAACAAGAGCTTCAAGAGCCAACCTTTAATAGCTACGCGTAAACAGCTGATGACATACAATAACAGAAATATTGTTTGTATAGGTATGATTCGGGTTCCGGTTTGTTATGCAAACCAAACTCATACATTAGAAATTTACGCAGTTCGTGACGGTGGCCCGCCGCTTTTAGGAAGAGATTTTATATCGGAATTTAGGTTACAGTTATTACCAATAAATTTTTGCCAAGATGACGAAAATTTTATAAAAAGTATACAAGAAAAGTATACGGATTTATTTTCTAATAAGTTAGGAACGTTTAACAAATATAAAGTAAGTTTAAAATTAAAAAATAATAGTAAGCCAGTATTTTTTAAAGCTCGACCGATTGCATTTGCTGTAAGGGATAAAGTTAGTGAAGAAATTAATAGACTGGTCAACTTAGGAATCCTTAAACCCATCCAGTATTCAGAACATGCGTCACCTATAGTACCTGTCTTAAAAAAAGATGGGTCAGTAAGATTGTGCGCGGATTACTCAGTTAGCATTAATAAACAATTACAGATAGAACAATATCCTCTTCCTACTATTAACGAGTTATTTTCTAAGATTAATGGTGGGTGTATATTTTCAAAATTAGATTTGTCTATGGCTTACAATCAGTTGGTTCTGAGTGAAGATGATGATTCACAAAATATAACTTGTATAAATACGCATCGGGGGTTGTTTAAGTTTACTAGGTTAGTTTTCGGATTATCCAGCGCTCCTGCAATATTCCAAAGGGCAATCGAAGGCGTTCTATCCGGGTTAGACGGTGTAATATGCCTATTGGACGATGTTTTAATAAGCTCGGGTAATAGTCGTATTGAGCACGCAGAAAGGTTAAACGCTGTCCTTAGCCGCTTACAGGATGCAGGTTTAACGCTACAGAAAGATAAGTGTGACTTTTTCAAAGAGGAGGTAAGCTACTTAGGTTATATACTTACGAAAGGAGGGCTTAAAAAGTAGCGGTGGGTCGTTATCAAATTTTCTGACGACGAAACGCAACCGTTTTCACTTAAACGAAAACTAGTCCTCGAAACGGTTCTCGTCGCAACTGGTTATAGTTGCGGCTGGGTGATGCAACGAAACGACACGCGACGGTCGAACGAATGAACGCAACGAAACTGAACAAAATGAAATCTTGTTAACGTTCATTTCGTTGCTGCGAACGAGACGACGAAACATCGAAATAAATGTAGTGTTATACGACTTCAAATGTTCAATAATAAAGATTATATTATTGTAAAATCAAAGCTGAATTATCATAGAACGAAACGGCATGTCATATCATTACGTTCTATTATAGACTGTATTTACTTCATCATAAAGTACATATTGACGTGCAGACAATCCGAGGACTAGTTGTTCGACGAAGACTGTTTTGATCCGAAACGTAAAACGGTTCTATCGTCGCGGAACACAAAACGGTCCTTGAAACCAGTTCGTCTTTAGAACGCTCACACCTATTAAAAAGGCGCCTGCAAAGGTGAAAGCCATGATTGATGCTCCTGTCCCTAAAAACGTTAACCAATTACAGTCATTCTTAGGGTTAATCAATTACTATAGGGACTTTATCCCTAATGCATCGTCCATTCTAAGCCCCCTATATGATTTACTGAAAAAGGGCTGTAAATTTCAGTGGTCGAATATACATGAATATGCATTTAAAAAAATAAAACAATTAATGATCTCCGATCAGGTATTGGCTCATTTCGATTCAAAATCTAAGATAATTTTAACCGTGGATGCATCTCCCTCGGGTCTCGGCGCAATATTATCACAAGTGAGTACCGATGGGGTGGAGAGGCCAATTTCGTTTGCTTCGCGTACTCTCACCTCGGCAGAGAAACGGTATGCACAAATCCAAAAAGAAGCCACAGCCATTATTTACGGGGTGAGGCGGTTCCACCAATACTTATACGGTAGATCTGAACCATTCGTATTGCGCACAGATCATAAACCATTAATATCTATCTTCGGTCCACATAAAGGGGTACCGGAGTTGTCTGCAAATAGGTTACAGCGCTACGCAATTTTCCTAAGTAGTTATAACTATGTTATTGAGTACGTTCGTAGTGGCGATAACGCTGCAGACTATTTGTCTCGCGCGAGTCTTCCCGAGCCGCCGCCGACGCCAGCCGAAGCTAGGGAACGGTGCGTATGCACCGAATATCACGGTGAGAGGGAGATGGACTGCGACCGCGCTACGTACGTTTGTTTCGTTTTGGATGGTAGCTTACCGATAACGTTGGATAGATTGCGTAACGAGACACTCAAAGATACAGTGCTAAAACAGGTTATAGGATATGTAAATAATGGGTGGCCTCCCAAATGTAACAATTTATGTTTAAAGCCATATTATTTGTGTAGATCCGAGTTGTCAGTGGAAAACGGATGTTTAATGAGAGGTCACAAGATTGTAATACCGGAAAATTTATATCAGTTAGTTTTAAGAGAATTACACTCATCTCATTTGGGCGTAGTAAAAACAAAAGCTGAAGCCCGAGCGAGATTGTGGTTCCCAGGCATTGACCAGGCGCTGGAGAATATGATTGCTTCGTGTGACATTTGCATCCAGTTGCGCCCTACACCGCCCCGTGCCCCTATTTGTCCTTGGGAAAACCCAATAGATCCCTTTGATAGGATTCACATAGATTTCTTAGGTCCTATTAAAAATTGTACTTATCTCGTCGTGGTAGATGCGCATTCGAAATGGGTAGAAGTTTATAAAATGAATATGTCAACGTGTTCAACTGCTGTGATCTCTAAACTTTGTGATTTTATGTCTCGCTTCGGAATTCCCAAAACTATAGTTAGTGATAATGGAACAGCTTTTTGTTCACGGGAATTTGAAATGTTTTGTAACTCTAACGGTATATGTCACGTCACTACACCGGTGTATCACCCGATGAGTAACGGTCAAGCTGAAAGTTTTGTTAAAATTATAAAAAAGGGTATAAAATCAGCTCTAATGTCATGTAGTAGTGCGAAGGATATTTCACTTACTTTGTTACAGTATCTATTAGACTACCGTAATTCGGTTCACACCACCACGGGTCGGTCCCCCGCTCAATCAGTGTTTGGCCGAAACCTTAGATCTCGATTAGATCTAATGATGCCCAAGCCTTCGTCACCCTTGACACCGTCAATACCCATTGCCACAAAACGATTTCAGTGCTCACATAATCAACAAGAGATAAATAAAAAACATGTCTTTAAGGAAAATGATAATATTTTATATAAGATATTTAGTAGCAAAACAAAATTTACATGGAATAAAGGAATTATATTAAAAAGTTAGGTAAAGTTATGTATTTAATTAAAGATAATGTAAGTAACGAGTGTATTAAAAGACATAAGAATCAAATATTTTTGTTTAAAGGGACGATTAACCAAAACAAAAACCAAATTGTACATTTACCTGAGCTATCATCATTACCTTCTCCGCCGCCGCCGCCCACACCGCCGCCGCCGTCGCCGTCGTCGCCGCAACCGCTCACACCGCCGCCACCTACAGCTGCTGGTCTAATGATACCACAGCAGGATCATGGCTCAAGCTTTACTGACCCAACATTTGCTCCTATCGAACATCGTCCACTTATTCGACGTAGAGGGAGAAGAGAAGAGTTTTATGTGCCGGGGGAAGGTTCACCAGTAAATGATGAGGAGAGTTCGGTGCGACAGGATAGTAGCAGTATGGAGCCTGAATCTCATATTCCAGGACGCCCAGAGGCTGCCACGCCTGAGAGCCCAACATCAGTAGATGACGAGTTCCATGAAGTCGATAGCTCTTAGCCAGGTTCAATCGTCCCAGGGTTGTATTCAATTAGAGGGAGAGATGTTATGTATGTAGGTATAAGCCAGCAACGGTGTCGCGTCCCTACCAATAAACAGTGCGTGTTTAACCACAGCTTGTTTCACTTGTCTCCGTATAGCTCCGATACACATCAGATCTTTTGTCTCTTATTAGTCGATAGTACGAGTAATCGATAGTACGGATTTCATGTAATTCTCTTCCATTTTGAAATAAAACAATCAATAATAGTAATTCATGATTATTATTCAGAAATAAACAACGCTGCGCTACAACCTATCCCTTCAGGATAGAGCACTACAACGGCGTCTTCGTGCGTTAGTTCCAATTTTCGCCACATTCATAAAGATCTCGGTCGCACTGTAGCAGTGGCGGCGCTAGACCACATGTGGACGTCGGCGACATCAAGTCTGCGAGGCCTATTTTAATGCGCAGTAAAAAAACCGTTAAATTAAGTGAGCCAAATTATAAAATAACGTATGAGTGAAGGAGTTTTATTGTTGATAATCAAATGATGACAAGAAATAATAACAAACATAGAAAGTTAATTACAAAAATAGTGTTGCCAGACAGACGATTCTGAATACCCGTAAAGTACTACTCGCTTCCATCACGCACGTGTTCGAAAATAATAAAAGTCATTATCATCTGCTTAGCTTTTTACACGAATTGTTCGGGGTCGGCTACCTAAGGCAGGCCAGAGAAACGAAAATAAATAGGTAACTTGTTTTTTACAATTTTTGCGAGGCCCCCTCAGGCGCGAGGCCGTCGGCGGTGGCCGACGTCGCCGACGCCTAGCGCCGCCACTGCACTGTAGATACATCGATAGGCTGGTCGAGCCCTTACCGCCAAATTATCGTAAGCGACACTCGCCAAATTATCGTAAGCGACACTTTTGTCGAAATGCGTTTTTTGTGGAAACTAATATTTTAAACCGTAACGGACCCATCTCTGTTGATATTTCCCTCCAAAAGAACACCGTTATAATATAACAGAGGGAAGAATAGAGGGAAATATCAACAGAGATGGGTCCGTTACGGTTTAAAATATTAGTTTCCACAAAAAACGCATTTCGACAAAAGTGTCGCTTACGATAATTTGGGGAGTGTCGCTTACGATAATTTGGCGGTAAGGGCTCGTGGTGATCATGTCTCGTTGGTTGTCAGAGCAACTGGGCACGCCTTCTGCGGCGTTCATGGCGCGGCTGCAGCCCACCGTCCGCAACTACGTGGAGAACCGCCCGCGCTACGCCGGATACAGCTTCGAGCGGCTCTTCCCCGACATACTGTTCCCCACGGACAGCAACGAGCACAACCGGCTCAAGGTGGGTGGCAGAGCGGCAAGGGTGCAACACCCGATGTGATTCGGTGTTGAATGTAATTTTCAGCTATTCTTCTAGTTATACTGCTCACCACGGACAGCGAAGAGCAAGGTGGGTGGCAGAGCGACAATAGTGCGACACCCGATGTGATTCGGTGATGGATGTAGTTTTTAGCCATTCTTCTAGTTAGACTGTTTACCACGGACAGCAACGAGCGCAACCGGCTCAAGGTGGGTGGCAGAGCGACAAGGGTGCAACACACGACTGTGATGCAGTTTTGGATAGTTTCTAGCCATTATTCTGGACATTCTGTTTTCAATGGACAGCCACGAGCACAACCGGCTTAAGATGGGTGGCAGAGCGACAAGGGTGCAACACACGACTGTGATTAAGTATTGGGTATAGCTTCTAGTCATTATTCTCGACATTCTGTTTTCAATGGACAGCAATAAGCACAGCCGGCTCAAGATCGGTGGCAGAGCGGCAAGGGTGCAACACACGACTTTGATGCAGTATTGGGTATAGGTTCTAGTCATTATTCCGGACATTCTGTTTTCAATGGACAGCAATAAGCACAACCGGCTCAAGGTGGTGGTGGAGGTGCAACACTAAACGGTGATTCAGTGATAAATACAGTAATAGCCGTTTACTGTTCACCAAGGACAGCAACGAGCACAACCGGCTCAAGGTGGGTGGCAGAGCGACAAGGGTGCAACACCCGATGTGATTCGGTGATGAATGTAATTTTCAGCTATTCTAGTTATACTGTTCACCACGGACAGCAAAGAGCAAGGTGGGTGGCAGAGCGACAAGGGTGCAACACCCGAAGTGATTCGGTGTTGAATGTAGTTTCTAGCCGTTCTTCTAGATATACTGTTGTCTACGGGCAGCAACGAGCACAACCGGCTCAAGGTGGGTGGCAGAGCGACAAGGGTGCAACACCCGAAGTGATTCGGTGATGAATGTAGTTTTTAGCCATTCTTCTAGATATACTGTTTACCACGGACAGCAACGAGCACAACCGGCTCAAGGTGGGTGGCAGAGCGATAAGGGTGCAACACCCGAAGTGATTCGGTGATGAATGAAGTTTTTAGCCGTTCTTCTAGATATACTGTTGTCTACGGACAGCAACGAGCTCAACTGGCACAAAGCGGGTGGCAGAGCTACGCGGGTGCAACACACGACTGTAATACAGTGTTGGATATAGCTTCTGTTTGTTACTCAATCACGCAAAAAGTACTGAACGGATTTGAATGCAATTAGGTACGCATATAGTGAGTGACTTGGATTGAGAAAGAAAAGAAAGAAATTAGGTTCCTGAGGGATTCTCAAAAAATAAAGTTGGAGTTGACTTTATTTTTTGAGAATAGAGTAGTAATCTTTATATATATAATTCTTCTGTGAGTGTGTATGTCACTGAACTTCTCTTAAACGACTGGACCGATTTTGATGAAATTTTTGTGTGTGTTCAAGGGGATCTGAGAATGGTTTAGATTCACAATTTTGTCCGCTGGACAATGTTTTTTTAATTAATTTTTAATTTATTAGTAGTTGTTGATTTTAGAATGTTTTACATTGGATCCGACAGACGGCGCTACCATACTAGACAGGACATCTTTATATATATAATTCTTCTGTGAGTGTGTATGTCACTGAACTTCTCTTAAACGACTGGACCGATTTTGATGAAATTTTTTGTGTGTGTTCAAGGGTATCTGAGAATGGTTTAGATTCACAATTTTGTCCGCTGGACAATGTTTTTTTAATTAATTTTTAATTTATTAGTAGTTGTTGATTTTGGAATGTTTTACATTGGATCCGACAGACGGCGCTACCATACTAAACAGGACAACGTCTGTCGGGTCCGCTAGTATATAATAGAATATTCGCGGCCGGCCGCTAGTAGTTCATAGTTATGAAAATACAAAAAAAAACTTCTAAAAAAATTTTAGACTCATAAATTTAGTAGTTAGTTGAATGTTTGAAATAAAAATAAGTATAATAACATAAATGTTGTTTGTGTAGGCTTCGCAGGCGCGTGATCTGCTGTCCCGCATGCTGGTGATCGACCCCGAGCGACGCATCTCCGTCGATGAGGCGTTGTTACACCCCTACATCAACGTGTGGTACGACGAGGGAGAAGTCAATGCGGTTAGTAGTGCACCACACACTTACACTACACTCTATGATGATGATGACTATTTTTTTTTTCTTCGTTTACCAGGTAGATTATCAAAAAGTATTGGACACGTATTTTTTCTTTTTTCACATAACATAAACATTGCAGAGATATATTGATTTGAAAAGTCGCATGACGTCACGTTTGAGTACACTTATAAGTGAAAATTCACTCGAAAGTGACGTCACGAGCCCCTACTCCCAAACTTTGACGCGCTATAACTTTGTCATTTTTTGGTTGATTGCCCAAAGAAAAAATACGTGTCCATTATTTTTTGATCGTCTAACTGACGGACTAAATAGAATTTCGTTTACTCTACCCCGTCATCACCTCTATTGTGAAACTTTGGTTAAAGGACAATGCTAAAAGTTCTATAGAGGTTTGACCCACCCAATAAAATTGGTGTACACGAATGTGATAAATGACATTTGATAGCTGTAATATTAGGAAACATAATAGTAAAGTTGTTAATTCTCTGAAGTTGTGGTTTTTTAATAATATGCTAACAAGGAGTATAATTATCATACGTTTCTCGAGCTGCATTTGAACAGAAAATTGCAGTTGGTATAAATGATTAATAAGGCACTTTCATAACTTTATTGAATAGGTAGTTTCTAGGTCGTCGATTCGTCTGTTTTTCGATTGTTATCAGTCTGTGAAGGTTTTCGAGTTTATTCATTACAGGCAAACATTCAAATCGTTCTCTTCATAGTGTAAATAATTGTAATAATAACGAATATGAAATATATATATATATATATATTCGCTACATGAGACATATTTTTTTCATTCAAGCAACAATGTGTCCTTTTTTGGAATCTTCTAGATCTAGCAAAATCTAATAATACTAATACTTTGCTTACAGCGCTTAAAAGCAGAGGTTGTACATTTGTGATTTAAAAAAAAATAAAACCAAACCCACGAATAAGATAACAATTTTCTTATCTATTGTCACGTGACCCAAAGCGCTTGGGATTGGCGGAGCCTTAAATGACGTCACACGCAAGTAAACTTCCTGTTAAAGTGACATTACATTGTATCATTTGACGTTTTAATAACAGTCGTGTGACGTCACACACTAGTAAGACGCCATATTGTCCAAAGAAACGTTTTCGCGGCAACTTGAAAATGGAGTTTTTGATTTGGTTATTTTTACTGAAATACACAACAGAATGATGATTATCCACTTTTTACGGACTCCATAAACATTAATCAATAACATGAGATCGTTTTCTAAAACTTGTCAAATACCCTATTGAACTTGTTTATAAACATAAATTAATTATATTTATAAACAGAATGGGTATTAGATGCATAATGTTAAAAAAAGAGAACGATATTTCGTATTCTTGATTGATGTTCTATTGTTTGTCGTGCAACAAAACGCATATGCCATGTTTTCGTTTTTCTCCTAACGGACACAGTAGGTACACATTATTTTAATATTTATTTTGTATCCGCAAGTTTTATAAAGTAATAATTAAATCAGTACGAGAAATAAAATCGTATTTTTTTTTTCATAAATTTAATATTACTGTTAATGGTGGGTCAGAATTTGGCATTGTCATTTATTGTTTGTTACTATTATGTATTAGGTGATATAATAAAGCGTTAATCTATCTACACTACACTACACCATACTACCCTACACTACACACTTCACTGCATACAGTACGACGAGGGAGAAGTCAACGGTTAGTATTATACACTATACTACACTACGCTACACGACATTACAATGCATGTTTAGTATATAGGTAATTTAAATAAATGTGTAATATTTTTATTTTATTTCTTCACTAAATACATTGATAACTTTTGTATGACATGTTAGCGTAAAAGGTTATTACGAACAATACCTATACCTAATTTAAGTAATTAAGCAAATCTTTTTTGATAAGAAAGTCTCGCGCATTTCTAAATGGCGCCACATGCGGATGGTGAAATTATACTTACATCTTTCGTCTCATTTTTTTAGTATCAAAGTGAAACTAATGTTAAAGGTTTTCAAGATTAAAAGCGTTTCCAAGGAGGTTCAACCGAAATAAAAGGAAATCCTTATAGGATACGTGAGACGCCATGTATGCTCCGTTTAATGGCCCGTAATTATGAAAAATCGAAAATAACAACTTAAAACAAAAAAAAACTTTATTACAACCTTCGTAAATGTAGTTTCTGAGCAAATGTGTTGAAAAGTAAATCTTCATTTGATTATCGAGTGGTTCGTTTGTTTGTCGATGGCGACAGCCGGCGCCCGCGTCGTACGACCACTCGGTGGACGAGCGCGAGCACACCGTCGAGCAGTGGAAGCAGCTCATCTACCAGGAGGTGGTGGAGTACGCCGCGCCCCCGGCCGCCCCGCCCGCGCCCGCGCCCCCGCCGCCCGCGCCCGCACTCACCACATAGGTACGTCGTCATGGCAACGCGCCCGCGCCCGGCCCGCGCCGCACGGCAGCAGCTCATCTACCAGGAGGTGGTGGAGTACGCCGCGCCCCCGGCCGCCCCGCCCGCGCCCGCGCCCCCGCCGCCCGCGCCCGCACTCACCACATAGGTACGTCGTCATGGCAACGCGCCCGCGCCCGGCCCGCGCCGCACGGCAGCAGCTCATCTACCAGGAGGTGGTGGAGTACGCCGCGCCCCCGGCCGCCCCGCCCGCGCCCGCGCCCCCGCCGCCCGCGCCCGCACTCACCACATAGGTACGTCGTCATGGCAACGCGCCCGCGCCCGGCCCGCGCCGCACGGCAGCAGCTCATCTACCAGGAGGTGGTGGAGTACGCCGCGCCCCCGGCCGCCCCGCCCGCGCCCGCGCCCCCGCCGCCCGCGCCCGCACTCACCACATAGGTACGTCGTCATGGCAACGCGCCCGCGCCCGGCCCGCGCCGCACGGCAGCAGCTCATCTACCAGGAGGTGGTGGAGTACGCCGCGCCCCCGGCCGCCCCGCCCGCGCCCGCGCCCCCGCCGCCCGCGCCCGCACTCACCACATAGGTACGTCGTCATGGCAACGCGCCCGCGCCCGGCCCGCGCCGCACGGCAGCAGCTCATCTACCAGGAGGTGGTGGAGTACGCCGCGCCCCCGGCCGCCCCGCCCGCGCCCGCGCCCCCGCCGCCCGCGCCCGCACTCACCACATAGGTACGTCGTCATGGCAACGCGCCCGCGCCCGGCCCGCGCCGCACGGCAGCAGCTCATCTACCAGGAGGTGGTGGAGTACGCCGCGCCGCATAGGTGCGTTGTAGTTGCGGCGTGCGTCAACAGATGGCGTTGCTCGTTTGTCTGCCCGACGGTGGTAAGATTTATTTGGGTTACTGGGAGTTTGAATTCTACTTGGTTGCTATAAAATTAAATGTTAAAAGATTGTACTGGTTATACTGGCTCACGTGTTTCGTTAACCCGGGGCTCCACTTTCCAGTGGAGACGTTTCTGACCGAAAAAGCTAGGAATGCATGCCATTTTTATTTTCGAAAAAAAAAATCTATACCCTAATTAAAAAAAAATTTAAGTGCAGTTCTTTGCTGATCAGTGTTCTTATTATGATTCACTGAACCTGTCCGACTTTTAACAGAAAACAACCTCTAGCTTTAATACCGAATTTCTCATCGCAAATGATATATTGCAGGTGTCGCGGATACCGACGGCGGCGGGCGAGGCCGCGTGTACATACGAGTGCAATCCCCACCACAGACTCTCCGCTAACTCACCGCGTTACATTACCCCGTCCCCTTGTGTCCTCTATCTCTCTCCTACCCGTTCTACCCCTACCCTTTCATACCCCTCCCCTCCCTCAGTCATCGAGCCGGCCGCGTTGTTTGTAAACGTAAACGATTGTCGTGTATAATGCGATTCAAATTTCATGACCGTTGTGAAGCTAGCAGCGAGTGCGATTATGCGCGGATTTCAGTTCAGTTTTCATCCTACATTTCGTATACTGCGCAGCGACTTGCGCGAACTTCACGCCCGTCGAATTAAAGTTCGAATCGCAGTCTACATAACCCATCCCTACACTCTCCCTGTCTCTTAAATTAAACATAGGCTAAGTTAGCGCCTGTACTTTTAATCTTATTGACTCGATGTATTCGTGATCGTCATCGTCGTCCATCACACTCTGACAGCCGAAATCAGAAACGTCATTTTAATTTAATACTTCGTTTAGTCAGGTGTTGTCTCGTTCTATTAATATCGCAAAGAAAGTGACAGCAGGAACTCTTGTCAAACTTAAATGAAAATTCTACTTTTCGTAAGAACCACTTACACCGAAATTCTGACTCGTTCTATCTCTATTTCTATTCTTTCTCTATTCAACTTAAACTATTGACAAAGATGGAATGTTAATGGTATTGTACGGGATTAAGCCTACATTTTAATTAAGAATTTTGGTGCAAATGGACCTAACTTACATAACTTTTAATGCTGTAAAGTGGGAAGCGACACGACGAAGTCATCGATACATTGATTGTTAAAGATTTTTAGGGTACAGCCCCAAGGTTCGACTCGTTTCATCGGAGGACGCTTCTCGAGTGATCGTATCACCATGCGAGTGCTACTTTTGAATCAATCGATCGACTGTGTCGCGTTGTAATCGATCGATTCAAATCGCAATCGAGTTAGTATCATGTCGCTGTTTAGATGCTATCCATATGCATACGAACTTTTTGGTGAATGTTTTTTGAAATGGAAATTCATGGTTTCAGGATTTTATATTTATCACTTGTCGTTGCATTCGAATGAATCGAAAAGACGGGGACTTTCGGATACCTTAGCGAAATTGGTGAAAATCGATTGATTCAAAAATAGCTCTCCATGTTTGATTTGCGTAAAGGAGTGCCTTTGCGGATCACGCTGTGACGGTGATTCGAAGCATGTGGACTGAAGTGTTTGAATATTTTTGTATCTGCGGCGGTAATGTGACGCTCGGACCCCGATGAATCTTGCAATATTTTTTACCACTTTGGGAACCTGCGTTTTTAGTTTTGTAACGCGAACTTGAATATTATGGATAATGTAATTAATTAATCTTAATGATAATAAAGTTGAGCTTAACAATCTGTGTTGTTACGACGTGTATTTTATTTTGGCGATTTTATTATTATTATTATTTTTCGACAATAAATTGTTGCGTTGTAATTATTTAATTTATGTTATTTGGATCACTTTTGCAAATTTGCACCACCATATTATAATGTTGCGCGTGTCGTTGCTAATCTCATATCAGCCGCGAGTGAGCATAGTGCCATTACACCATGCCATAGAGTGGAAAAATGTGATTTTTTTTATACTTATTAAAAAAAATATGGGTGCGTGTACTTAAGTACGCGCGTGAGAAGTTATACTTCTTTTTGGAATTATTAAAAAATAGTTTTTAATTGCTTGCAGATAATTTATTACAATAAGATAATAAAAGGATTGGAAAAGGATAGTCAACGCAGTCAATAAAGTTCAGTTTTAATTTGAAAAAATTAATAAATAATCAAAATATTAAATTTAAATCACTACTGAATAAAATTTATTAGCACATATAAATTTCGCATTTGTATAACATTATAACACGTGTTAAGAATATAGAAACTAGAAACATGTGGATAAATATTATAAATATGAAAACAGTGATCAGAGGCGACGAGCGTCCCAACATGTGCGACTAAGAGATCCTATTACTATTTTGTTGGAAGCTTTTTTTCGAGACTTACGAGTAATGTGCGGTTTAGCGGCCGACTTCATGGTGTTACTTTTCTGTTACAGTGTTGCGCGCGCATCTTAAAATTTCACTCTCATCATTTTTTCATAACGCGCCCGCGGCTAACTTCATTATGTTACTTTTGTGTTACAGTGATGCGCGCGCATCTTAAAATTTCACTCTCATCATTTTTTCATAACGCGCCCGCGGCTAACTTCATTATGTTACTTTTGTGTTACAGTGATGCGCGCGCATCTTAAAATTTCACTCTCATAATTTTTTCATAACGCGGCTAAAGAAGTATAACTTCAAAAAAATTTGCAATCGTGATACTTTTTGATTAAGAGTGACTTTTGAAATTGTAATATAATTTCCGTAGTAGTGGTGTACACACGGTCGGATTAGTTGGGATTTTGTGATGTTCATAGTTTTCATAGGTACCTAGCCCATAGTTATGTTGTTGATGATATCGTATCGACTATACGAGATTAGCTGTTTAAGTACATTAATACCTAATAGTATCATATTGACCTCACACGTTGCCTCTTGGAACTTTATACGTAACCAGTTCTCCAGCTTACCTCATGACGATAGGTCACCATACATAAATTACTCTTTATTCACACATATTGGTTCAGCTTTAGGGAATGTCTGATCAGTTGAATGTTTAAGCCACTTAAATTCTTTGCTTGCCGAATAATTCTATTACTGTCGCAAATAAATTGAGAGCATTAACCTTCATAAAATTTACTGCGTTCGTATGTCCGTATTTTGTTGGTTCTGCAAAACGGAAGCCGCGCAGAATGTTGTGCATAAAGATTTTATTTTGCAATTTAATACTATAATTAATTATGCAAGGTGTCTCATTAGAATTATTAATGACTACTGCTGTTTCCACAATATCAGGTTGAGCTCAATCGATTGTAGATCTTATGACTAACAATATAAAGCTAAAAGTCAGTTGGTGGAATTTGACAGTTTTGGGTTAACTTGAACTGTTGTTGATTGTACAAAATTTTACCGCACTGGAGACTTCAAACTTTGAAGTTACGAGGTGTTAAATGTGACCCTCGTCAGAGACAATAAGTGGTGGGCCCTCTCAACACGCTGGTCCGTGCGTGTTCGGTTTCAAATTCAACTATTCTGGTAAATGTTGACGTACCTAGTACAGTTGAAGATGTTTGCGGCTTGAAACTTTTAGGTTAACTAATATAAGTAGCTAGAATTCTAATTCAATAATGGAGTAAAACTATTAAGATAAGTGCGTGTATGGCGCTATATGCCGTACGTAAGTTAGAATGATTGGAACATTTCAAACACCAGCATTTATAATGCGATTCAACTAAGAATGGGACCGACTGGGCGCCATATTTTGACGTCATAGCTGTCAATTCAAACCAAATAGGTGCAGTGAGCAAAAAAATGTTGCTATTTAATAAAACTTATTTACTAAGATTAAGTGAGACAAAACATCAGATTTTTTTAATAATATGAATTTACTAAGGTTGAGAAAGAACACAACCGATTTTTAATAGTATTTCTTTATTAAGACTGTGTGAAAAAAAACATTATCATAATCTAGCTCTTCAATTTCTCTCATCTTTGCATTACCGCCGGAGAAGTTATGAATAATCATGCAGGTCACATACGAACATGCATCCTAGATGTAAACGAAAGTTTTAAATCGAGTTTTTGAACGCAACATAAAATGACATTTGGTTGACGATTTAGGATATCAACCATTCATAGCCAAGGCTCAATAAATGAAAAAAAATCAACTAATATTAATTTATCAACATTTGTTATTGTTTGTTTAAAAATGTTTGGTTTTTATTCTAGAATCAGCTGAGTGCTAAAAAAGTGTTCCGAGATTTTTTTGCATACCGTACTTTTCAATCGACATTTGACAGATGGAGGTCATTGGCTTTCCTATTCTTATTTGAATCGCATTATAAATAAAACAAGTTTCAACGGTATGGATGCACAGTCTTTGTTATATATAGACGTTTAGTTTCAATAAATAAATGAATCAGTGCATCTATACCGTTGAAACGTGTTTCATTTAATGATTGGTGTGTGTGAAAACCCAAGAAACAAACAAGCATTTAAATTACATTGGCATAAGAAATTTTTGAATAGAATCGAACGCCAAATATTATCACCCAAAATTAGCAAACCGCATTTATCTTCGACTGTGCCGACATCGTTCCTTCCCGATTATACTTCTTGTGAATAACCACAGCATGTAAATATAAATTGATGAAGAATACTGTAGACATGAATATATTCGGATATTAGTACCTACGTGCATATAATGTAGTTCTAAGGGTTTTTAATGAGTGTGATATAATAGGCATCATTAAGACAAAAAGATTAATTAGAACGCGCCAAAAACGATTAAATTTGACGCGTTCTAACGCCTTGAACTACTGTTAGAAATTACGGACAGGCACCGGTTTCCTACAAACAAAATACCTAAACGTGTGAGGTATACCGTAGGATATTGTTTGAAACCTCACTAGGTGATATAATTATAAATTAAGGATGATAAAGGAGTCGTTAGTTACGTCGGGTGGTTTCAACAGATAGCACAATTTATTAGCTATTATAGAGTATGGACGGCCGCATGCAGTTGGTGACATATTCGGCGCGAATACGCATGAAGCATTTGTCGAAGCAATATTTATAGTAACTGCGTTGTTGTAGACTTGTTACCGCGTGACGTGGCTGTGGTCGAGAACTCTATAAAGTCAATTCAGACATGGAAACATATCACTTGACAAAGAAATGGTTAATTTTCAAGTTTTCAAAAATACTACTGATCGACCACCGCCAGTGACCGCTACTGTACTGTACTTTATTGTACCCTTAGCACGTACCAAAATCAAATTTGGTTATTTTGCGAGTGCGAAATGTCATTGTTAAATTTTGTATAGTAACTTGAATAACGGACGTAACGAGAAAAAAACAGTACACATTTGACAATTTCGAATTTGATAATGGTTCGTGCTAAAAGTACTGTAGGTACTGTCCACGATTGTCACTTTACTTTTGTTCCCTAATAATAAAAAACTGCAATAATGAGACACGAATTGGCTTCGCATAGTATTTATTTTGGACCTCGATAACTTTTAAAATATAAATTAACGTTGGAATATAAAAAAAAATACAAAAATTATTATAAAGAAAATAACCTGTGAGAGTATACACTTAACAATAATAAACATAAATTAATATAGGCATAAGGGAGATGTAAATATAAATAAATAATTAAAACCATAGTTTACGGAACGAAAGTGAAGAGATCATACGCAATATCCTTAGGACCCTCTTTTATCTCACACTAGTGGATACAAAGAGAAGAAAATCACAACTGTACGTCCAAATTGTCCATTTATATGTTAATGTACCTAATACAAATTACAATAATGTAATCATTAGAATGTATTTTAGTACACTTGGTAACGAGGTAAGGTTCGGCTTGTAGCAGATCATTCGATTCTTGACCTGAGTTCACGTTCATTATTGATTGATTTACTATCTGAAAACAACTTATTTTTACTGTACACGTAAGTTATTTCATATTTTAACTGAATAAATCGAAATGGTTATTACAAAAAGCGTTTCTCTTTTCCCTGGCGTTTGCACATTGTCTCAGCTAAATTTGAATTGGTATTGGTTTTTGAATTGAAAGAAAATTTAGTTACAAAGAATTCCGCTCCCTCCAAATATCTCAGACACAGGACTCGAACCTGCGCTTTCCTAGCGCTCATGCGGGCTGGTGGTTAAAAGCGCAGCTAGCCGCTCTTACATTTTAGTGCCAAGAGGGCAATGGTCACTAGCCATAAAACATTCGTTATTGAACAATATTTTGATTTCATTTTCTTATTTCTAACCGCTAGTGCGTATGAGAGCTTAATCTGAGTAGACGCGCTGACTTTATGGTAAATTTATACAAGAGCAGAGTCCAAGCGCATTTCTATGAATTACGGAAGAATTTGCTATATTACTTTCGTTTCTGAATGTCGCTTCGATGCGCTTCGACACCTACAATGCTTTTAATGCCTGTCAGCCTGAGAAATACTAGAAGAAATTCGACATGGCCGCTAAGGTATCGGTAGCATAATTGAGTAGTGCGTCCGCCCGGATAACGAAAGAAGAATTTAAGACAGGTCGGGCAAAGCGGTTTTCCGCTCGAATTAGAGCGCCCGCCTGAGAGAGTAATCTGCACCTTTATCTTATATATATCTCTCTCTAATAATTCTCGTGTCACAATGTTAGTTACCATACTCCTCCGAAACAGCTTGACCGATTTTTATGAAACTTATGCATATTCACTTCTGAGAATCTGCTACTATATATTTTTCATACCCCTAAGTGATAAGGGTTGTCCACCCCAACTTTTTTTTAGATTTTAGTTTTTTTTTTTATTTATTTATAATGTGGCATTAAAAATACATACAGCTCTAAATTTACACCCTTCTACCACCCATATATTATGGCGATACGAAGTTCGCTGGGCCAGCTATCGAGCGCGGTTAGCGTCTTATTTCAATTATCCTTAAATTCGTTCATAGTGGACATGGGGAGATAAAATTGGTGTGATTTTGTGTTACAAACGTCTGCGCAACTAAAGAATTAGTGGAATCTTCATAATATACGCTATTCCGGTCAAGTGTAAGTGAGAACTTTCGTTGTAGTGTTGACTACCTCACAGAAGCTTACCGAAAAAGCCACCTCGATACATTTCGTGCGAAATACTCCAAGAAGTACTAAAATGCGTTACACCGACGACATTGTAATGTAAAAAAAGGAAGATTAATATAACTTAAGACTAGGCTGTATGGGCATTGTTTCCTTTGCCTTCCCTAAAAAGGGAGAATCTTAAAAAAAATGTGACTGACATTTCATTCATCTCATGCTCATCAAACTATTTTTCGTGGTGTTTCATTCATTTTATTTTATTTATTTGATTAACTTTACCCAATTGTATGATAAAAGTAGTTAAATGAACTCTTATTAAGTACTAATAGTAAACCAACATTTACGTATATTCTGTTAAAATGGCGGAAAAGGACAAGACAAAAGTTAACAATCAAACAAAATACATTCCAAAGGACGCTCAAGTCATCATGTCAATCATGAAAGAGGTGGGAATAACAGACTACGAGCCTCGAATAGTAAATCAGCTCCTAGAATTCACTTACAAGTACGTTACATCAATATTGGACGACGCAAGGGTATTTGCCAATCATGCCAAAAAGAAGACTATAGATTTAGAAGATGTAAGATTAGCAGTTCAAATGCAGTTAGATAAATCATTTACTAGTCCACCACCACGAGAAGTACTGCTGGAAATTGCTAGAGTTAAGAATGTGAACCCTTTACCACTCATAAAGCCACATTGTGGATTGAGATTACCTCCTGATCGGTAAGAATACATATAGCTTTTAAACATACAGCTTATAGTCAATTCAGCTTCAAACGACAGACGTGTGTGGAGTGAAATTTTACATTGTTCTGTATGCTTTATCAGACAATTTTCATTATTTTTAGGTATTGTTTATCATCTTGCAACTATCGCATTAAAGCCACCACTAAGAAAGTGGTTACGAAACCTGCAGTAGCTGCACCACTGCCCATCTCAGCCTGCATCAAGAATGTTTCTACAGCCAAACCTGCTTCAAGCCAGCAGAATGTTGTGGTCAAGAGACCACCAGGAGCAATTGTGAATGTTTCATCATCAAAACCAAATGTTATCCCTAAACCAGTCCTAAAGTTTACATCTAGCAGCAAAGTAAGAATAATTTTTATATTACAAATAAACTTCATCTTCATCATCAGCCTATTAATGTCTCCACTGCTGGGGCACAGGCCTTCCCTATGGTTGGAATAGGGAGATTAGGCCATGACCCACCACGAGGGCCCAGTGCGGATTGGCAGGTGCTAACAACTGCAGATGCAGCCAGGACCAACGGCTTAACGTGCCTTCCGAAGCACAATAGTAATTTTTTTATCTGTGATATAAATTCGAGTGGTATTATTTAAAAGCATTTAAATGACTATAGTTAGAGTCTATTAATAACAATAATGAAATAATGCTATTTCTCAGGTTGTCGCCAAACCAGCAGTGCGTGTAACAGCCGGTCCTTCTACACAGGCACCAGTCAAAATGGAGGTAGATGAGCAAACAGCACAAAAAAGAAAGAGGGAGGATGATGAATATGACTTATAAATTTAATATTGTTCTAGAAATAAGACTAAGATCTTTTAAGTTTAATAAAATATTTCTTTTTTAATTGTCTACCATTTGAGTAATTTCTATTATAATTTAACCAGTAAAAGACCAAGATAGAGAGAGTAGGTACTTTTTAATAACTATTTTAGTTGATTTTTAATGATTACAATAACATTTTCTTAAACAACTTAAAAAATATAGATCATGATTTACAAAACTTACAACATAATATCATAGGTACATTTACTTCTTGTCATATTTGTAAATACCTTCCCCAGACTTGCGTCCCAGTTTGCCTTCAGCAACTAACTTATTTAAGAGAGGAATTGGTTTGAACAGTTGTTGGTCTGGGAATTTCTTATGCCAGCCATCCAAAATGAATTTGTTGGTGTCAAGACCGACATAGTCTGCCAGCTCTAGAGGACCCATTGGATAGCCTGCTCCTAGCTTCATGGCAATATCAATGTCCTGAGCAGAAGCATCACCTGCAAAAAAATATAACTAAGGAAACATTTTCTTCATAATATAAACAATATAATCAAAACTTAAGATGGAACTTGTATCAGTAACAAAAGAAAAATCTTCTTATATTTTCTTACTCACCTCTTTCATACAGCCTTATAGCCTCACAAATGTATGGCACCAGCAGTCTATTCACAACAAATCCAGGAGTGTCCTTACAAGTGATACAAGTCTTGCCTACTGACTTGCCCCATTCGAGCATAGACTTGTAGGTTTCCTCGGATGTTTCAGCTCCTTTTACAATTTCAAGGAGACGCATCACGGGCACTGGATTGAAAAAGTGAAGGCCTCCAAATCTAAGAAAACAGTAACGTTATTATACAAATTCAGTATAATGTTTAAAAATACCAACATTGACCATGAAAAAGCTTAACTAAAAGCCTATTAGTAATACATACTTGTCTTTCCTTTTCACAACAGAGCTAATTTCATCGATGGATAAAGATGAGGTATTGGATGCCAAAATAGCATGTTGAGGAGCAGCCTACAACAGAAAATGTGCAAAGTTTTCTTTAGGCCTTTACAAATCAAGCATTGAATCAAATTCCAATCAATGTATGTACCACCTACCTCATCAAGTTGTTTAAAAAGTTTATGTTTAACTTCTATGTTTTCAACAATCGCCTCCACCACAAGATCGGCGGACTTGGATGCTTCTGCCGGATCAGTTGCAGTCTTTATCCTGGCCATTGAATCTTTGACAAACTTCTCTCCGTCTTGTGGCTTGTCCTTATACAGTTTTTTTGCGACTCTACTCAAGTTATCTCCAATAGACTTTTGTGATTTTGCTAACACATCTGAACTAACATCCACGAGAGTCACATTTTGACCAGCTTGTGCAGATACCTAGAGTTTGTTTACCAAAAATAGTTATAGAATTAAGATTTTTTTTTTAAATTACTTTTTGAAGAAAAGATACTGAATTTCTGTAGGCAGCATTCGGAATATAGCTAATAAAGTATATTTCATTAGGAAATAAAAAATAATAATGCTGTTTGATGCTTTGCCAGCTATGAAAGAGATATATTTTGCAAACTTTTCAACTTAAGATGTTTTGTTTTCAGTTCATTGTTTAATTGATGACATTTCTGTACTTTACCTGAGCGATCCCTGAACCCATCAAGCCGCCGCCTATGATGGTAACATTTTTGATTGCTACTTGTAAAGCTGATGAAGTGGAAAACTTTCTTGATAAAACTCCAAACTGCATCTTTATGATATTTATAATAAATCTGAATCAAACTGATAGAATTATACTACTTGATTCTTATAAACGTAATAAATTTTTAATCTGATAGAAGTTTAAAAACGATTTATCAACTAACTATGAATGAAAGTACCTATTCCAAAGTTCACTTTTTTGGTACCTACCTACCCCTACTAATCAAATGAAGGTCAGGGACCTTGGACATTGGACACACACACACAAACATGCAAATAGAAACCATAGATAAAGTATAATATGTAAGATGAGCATGGACGTACTATTAAGTAGGTACTATTCTCCGAAAGAATGATGCGCCTATTATACTACCCAATTTTATGGGACCCTTACCCTGACTACAGCCGCGGCACGATATGATGGCCGTTTAGAGTTTAGACACATTGCAATAGTGACACGAAAAGTCAACCTGTTATAGAAAAAAACCTATATATGTAAATACGAGACACTCTTAGCAAATATTAAAGAAACTCTACGAGTTAATACGCACAGCTTTTGACGTTTTTCATACAACGACTTGGCAACCTCTGAATAGGGCAATCTGTTGGCATGAGTTGATCATTTTGTTTGCTACAAGTAACTTTACTTTCAGTAGCGATCGTAGTTAATGATAATAAGAATAAAACAAATATTTAAAGATATTGTCAAAGGGCTGGTGATTTTGAAGAGAAAGAAGTGTTACTAAATTTTAATTGAGATCTACAATTTTTATGACAAAATCAAATCAAATACTATTTAAATAAGGCACATATTTATGTAATCAGCAAACAATAGAAATTGATCCCCAAAAAATACAATTGGTAACCTAATCTAACCTTTAAGGGAGAATTAAAAAAAATATGATTATTTACCTATTTCCTTTATATAAAGAGAAAAGTGCAGAAGGCTTTAGAAAAGTGTATAAAAACTTGATCAGAATGCAACAAATGCCAAAACCACGCCGTTCAACAGAGACGAATTTTATTTTCTGAGTTAAGCCCGTCACAGACGTAGCTATAATATATATTAATATATCGAAATATATATTATATTATAGCTAACTACCACAGACGGGAGCTATACTATAATATATATTTTGCCCTCACTCGGTCTGCGGTCGTTTTTGCAAGCGCACGGTATTAAAGCTTATTTTCTAGCACAGAGTGTTTTAATTTTGAAATAACGTTATAATCAATCTTACAATGAATGAATGAAATGAATTCGACAAGAGCACTACTTTTAGATTTAATTGAAAGTTCCTCAGAGGATGATTCCGATGCTGAATTTGATATGCATGTTGCCTTGTCAGGAACGAAAAATATAACCATCTGGGTAGAGTCGCATATAAAACAAAAGAAAACTTGTGGTGAATTTAATTTGTATCGTGTTTTGTCATCCAATAAATTTGCACAGTATTTTAGGAGAGGGAGGGTGGGGGAGAAATGCTCGTGCGCACTTGAGCCGGAGATCGGGCAGGCGTTAAGAGAAAAGTTGAACATTCCGTATTAAAAATATATACTAATATGCCAAAATATATCCCGTCACAGACGTAGCTATAATATATATTAATATATCGAGATATTATATTAAACAAACTACGACAAACGGGAGCTGTACTATAATATATATTTTGGCAGGCGTTCGGTGAAAAATGGAACATCACGTATCATAAAAATATATCAAAATATATATTAATATGGCAAAATATACACTAATATGCCAAAATATATCTGTCGACATATTTTGGTGACGTCATAGAAATATATATTAGCTGCGTGTGCGGTCACTCGAAAATTTATATTGAAAATATGTTGTAATATGTTTTGCTATGATTCATATTAATATATATTATAGCTATGTCTGTGACGGGCTTGAGCCGGAGATCGGGCAGGCGTTCAGTGAAAAGTTGAACATTCCGTATCAAAAATATATACTAATATGCCAAAATATAACGCGTCACAGACGTAGCTATAATATATATTCATATATCGAGATATTTTATTAAACAAACTACCACAGACGTGTGCTGTACTATAATATATATTTTGCTTCAGGCGTTCGGTGAAAAATGCAACATACCGTACCATAAAAATATATCAAAATATATATTAATATACCAAAATATACATTAATATGCCAAAATATATTTGTCGACATATTTTGGTGACGTCATAGAAATATATATTATAGCAGCGTGTGCGGTCACTCGAAAATTTATATTGAAAATATGTTGTAATATGTCTTGCTATGATTTATATTAATATATATTATAGCTACGTCTGTGACGGGCTTTAGGGTCTGCTTGGTAGGGCGGTGAAATAGTTGCAAGTCCAGCTAGGGTACACGCCCACCCTTTCGATCCCTTAAAATTGGGTAGTGTAATAGCTGTTTATATGATAGAAACTGTTGATTCTAAAGCCTCGATGACACGGGGTGAGCTACAAGCCAGCGACTTCGCTAGTAGCTTGTATCATCGAGTAGCAAATGGTAAAAAAGCCGATGACACGGGGCGAGTTACACGCTGCTAGCGAACTCGCTGGCTTGTAGCTTGAAACTCGCCTCGTGTCATCGAGGCTTAAGCCAGCACTTCACATACATTACATAGCTATCCTTATCTGTTAGTTGATATTTGGAAGAGGTCAGGTTCTTCTTATACTAAAGGAGTAAAAAGGAGTCTGTTGTCTTGTCAAATTTACAATTATAATAATAGCATAAGATATTGTAAGTATGTATGTACAAACAGGACTGATAACTTTTAAAAATCACATTTTGCTAATTAAAATTTATTTTAAGTTGTTAGATTAGATGCAAAGAGTCTTGTCTCATTCTTACAACATAACAGCAATTAATTAAATAAAGAAGTATTATTTTAATGACATTTTATTCAATGGAATTTGTACTTAGAATGATTCATAACCTTATTCATTACTATTATAATACCATGACCTTAATTTAGTAAAAAAGTGAGATTTTTCAAGTTTTTCTGTAAATAGATATTTCTATCTTTTTAACGTTTATAGCGCTGTCTATTGCTGATTGCTGGAATGTTGTAAAACGATACAAAAGGCCTCTGTTATGTATGACCCACCATGCCTGGCTCTCTTTGCATCTGACAATGTAAAATGAACTTTTTGATCAAAGTAAAAAGGTCAGTTCTCAAAAATGATTTTTTATATAGTTACCACGGTACTCAGATCTGTTTTGTTTACGTTCAAGCTGTCACGTTACTACTACAAACTGGCGATTTATATGAATAAATTGTAATCTTAAATTGAGAGCAGTATGGCTCAAAGTCAACTGTAGTATTTTGACAGTTTTGGTTAACGAACAACCTGTGGCTACTAAAATTTATTTTATATTTACTCTAATCCAATTTTGTTATTTTGTGTTGTTTTGTGTGGTTTCTGTGGTTCACTTAAGCTTTTTTAGAAAATGGTTGATGAAACGGGTACCTATTATGGAAACAACACATGAGACACGATGAGTATGTATCACTTTCAATTTTTATCTATAATCCTCCCATTTTAGATAAATTATCGCTCAACGTAAACCTTCCTTCGTACGTTTTATCTACCTAGTCGTTTTAAGAAACCGGTATAGGCGGCACTTGATCAAACATAACCTATTGTTAGTGAATTGATGATGAATAAGTTAACCGGCTTAACGCGTAACTTTTCGAGTTCTACAACGATGAACGCCTTGAAAACAGTCACCGTGGTTGGTGGAGGGCTAATGGGCTCAGGCATCGCTCAGGTAAGCCTGAATTGAAAACATGTTTATTGGTTTAGTACTAAAGCGTGCATGACCTTTGTACTCAGACCAAACTGGCTAAAGTTGTACATTATGTACTGCTTATTTCCAAATTGTTAGTTATTGTGTTATGCTTATCTTTACTTTTTTAAATTTCTCAACTTTTCAGTTTTCCCAATTAATTTTTCCATAAGCTATAGTAAACTAATAAGTAGATTAAATTCTGACCTTTACTAACAATATATGTATGATATTAAATTAGTTTGAATATAAATTAACTCCCATTTTGTTTAATAGGTAGCAGCTCAAGCTGGCCAAAATGTTACAATAGTGGATCTGAAGCCAGAGTTGCTGGAGAAAGCCCAAAAATCCATACACTCAAATTTAAGTAGAGTGGGCAAGAAGCTGTACAAGGATGACACAGCAAAAATTGAGACATTTGTTAAGGAGTCTTTTAGCAAGATCAAAGTTTCAACTGATATAGAGCAGGGGGCAAAGTCCGATCTCATCATTGAAGCTATAGTGGAGCAACTGAAACCAAAACAAGAATTATTCAAAAAGTTAGATGAGGTAATTAGAGAGATTTATATAGATGGTAGATTTAGATTTTGTAAGTACCCATAAAGAAAAAACAACAAATTAATTTACTTTTTTCAAAAAAATGTCATATTTAATTAGTTAAAGTTATCTATATTTACTAAATAGTGCAAATTTAAACACTAAAAACTAACTGACTAAAACATATTAAACTAAAAACAAAATAAATATGACTGTCTTATTAAATTGGTATACAATTAAAAATAATGCATGAATAAGGGTCAGATTAGAGGTGTAGAGGCCCTGATGCAATGATGCAAAAGAAGGAAAAGCAGAGGATAGCCACTATAGCCTTGCCTAGATTTAGAGCCTAATCTAGACGAGGCCACTTGACTGGTTCATGAATTTCAGAATTTATGTTTTTAATTTCTATTGTCCTGGCATGAATCACAACATCTTAGTTATATTAACAATAAGGTATATTTTTTCATGTTTTCAGTTGTCCCCTGACCATACAATATTCGCAACCAATACTTCATCAATTTCAGTCAATGAAATAGGTGCAGAAATCAAAAGAAAGGACAGGTATTATGTTTTTCTTATTATTTTCAAAAGTTAAACATTACTCGTAACTTATGTGACAATTTTGAGTCTCTTACTGACAGAAAATTCAACAGAGGTAAAGTGATTTTACTGTATGTGCATGACATGAACAGTAATATAAAAGCAATGCAATAAATACTCATTTCAATCATTGATTGTCTTGTTATTTTTAGCATTCAAATGCTAAAAATAACTAGATGTATAAACCTAAAAAAATCTTTAGTGGTATAAAGGCAATAGATGTTTCAAATATCAAGTGAATAATTGTATAAAATATTCTTTGCATAGGCAGGCTTATGCAAAGTTCATAAGTTATATTTCAGACTGATTTAAATTTCAGGTTTGGCGGTTTACATTTCTTCAACCCAGTGCCAGTGATGCGGCTATTGGAGGTGATCAAAGGTGATGAAACCTCTCAAGCGACTTACGAGGCCATGATGGAGTGGGGCAAGGCTATCGGCAAGACTTGCATCACCTGTAAAGACACTCCCGGCTTTGTGGTCAACCGTCTGCTTGGACCATACAGTGCTGAAGCCATCAGGCTCTATGAGAGAGGTGAGCTGTTGCATTTAAATATTTTTTCGAAAATCTTCTAGCCATTGTTAAGCTGCAAGGCAGCACCATTTCTTCGCATTGTAGGTCGCGAACGACGCGGCCGTCAGGGTCGCGGTAGCATATAGCGCGGTTCAAATCCCGTCTGCTGCCTGGTCCACGTGTATTTTTTCTAGTTATATTTTATTTAGATTTAAACATCAAGCAGTTACATGCTTAAAATATAAAAATTAAAACCATTTAATGTGATTTAATTAACTCACATTTTATAAGACGTGACTAATCTCCTTGTATGCAATTCGAAAAGTGTTGCCAGATAACACTCCACAGTCGCTTTTTTTTTTAAATTTATTCTGGCTTTGGATACTCAGTCCTTTAGCCGAACTATATTCGTCTTATGTTTCAGTGTTCTCTCAGAAAATATAATAATTCGGGCATACATAGACCACAAATTACAAAATTTTACTTAAATTTACTTAATTGTACTTTAATTATTTGACGGATGTCCAACTTTTAAATATTTATTTATTGAAGTAATGGCGAAGATACGACGTTACTGTTATGATGCTTTGATTACTCTACAAAGTTACATTAAAAATTTTAAATAACTTGCCAACGAACAATATGGCAAAAAATTAATTAATATTTAGTTAATGTATTTAATCACTAAATAACATCGGGACCAATTCACATTTAAGGTCAAACATACAGCAAACTTATTCTACTTGTGTTAGTGCATGCAAAAGAAGTACTTAATGATACAATTATTAAAGTTCAAATTTGTGTTGTGTATGTTTATGTGGGTGTGGAATTGCATGTAAGTAGGTACTTCAGTATTTATATATTATGGTAATGGGAATCTCCTAGTCTGTTTTCGTTATTATCACCCTGTTAATGTTCCTACTGCTTAGGCTCAGGCCTTCCCTAATCCCTATGGATGGAATGAAAATTAAAACAAATTCAAATACCTACCTACTCTATTCAAATTGACTTGCTAGATTGTCTTTTAAATACACAGTTTACAAAACAAAAAGCAGATGAAACTCATTATTCGACGACTTCTGTGGCCGAGTGGTTTGTACGCCGGGTTTCATGCTGTCGCCGACTCGAGAGGTCCCGGGTTCGAACCCGGTGGGGGCAGATGTTTGTGTGATGAATACGAGCATTTGTACCCCATTCATGGATGTTTCATATGTATTTCCAAAGATTTAAATCGTTAGATATGCCCTGACACCGAAAAACTGTGGCTATATTTGCAATGACGTTATGATTACGGCCGTTTTGACACATTACAATAGTGTAGTGAAAGTCAATTATTATTGAAAAAATAAATTAATGCTATTATATGCGAGTCTCATCTAGATATTTTTTTTTGGTAATTTAACCAATATTGCAAACGGTAGTTGATCGAAAGGATTGAATTAAATAAAAAATATAAATGTTTAAATTTAGATAGAAGATGATCACTTTATTGTAGTCACATCAGTCTTTCGATATTCCACGTGGGTCTCGTGTATGTGATATATCGCGGTGTGGCGATCTGGTCGCAGCGCCGTTGTGGCCAGGCCGAGCACTCCAACAAGGTTTGCTCGGCCGTATCGTCCGGGGCCTTCCTTCCCGGCGGACGATACGGTACCATGCGGAACGACAGGCCGGCGCTCACTTGGGCCCTTTTCACATGCACACGGTCACGGCACGGCCGCCATGCCGTACAACCGTGCTAGCTCTTTCACATGTATACGGCTTACACACGGTCGCCGGCTATGGATGTTGCAGTATTATCGAGAATTTTGGGGAACGACGACGTCTTTTATCATGGAACAAAAAAAATTTTCATTATCATCTAATTCTTCGAAACTACTATTTAATCCTATACATACTTCTTTCCGCGGTTCTTTTGTCTCGTTCCTGTTTTTATAAGACGCGATAGTTTTATCCCATAAAGTAGGACGCGCTTCAACTAGCGAAATCAACACATCAACATCGATTTCGACAGACATTCTGTAACAATCGTCCGTCCGTTCCCCTATGACTTTAGCTGACGAATGGTATTTGCACTCGCCGTACACCGTACCGCGCCCGTGTTCATGTGAACGCATCTATACAAGTCCATACAAGACTATAGAAAGGGCTGCCGCGTCAAAACCGTGCTTATAGTGGATAAGAACGGCTGACACGCGGTCACGGCACAGTCGCCGTGCAATGTGAAAGCTCTCATTGTTGCTCATATGTATGAGCAACAATGAGAGCTTTCCTATTTTACACGGCACGGCAACCGTGCCGTGTCCGTGTACATGTGAAAAGGCACTTGGGCTAGTGCCTCATCCCATCGCCAAAAGGCCTCTGCCTGCGCGATGGAACGGACTTTCGGTCTTTCACTCCGCTCCCTGGCTTCGACCCGATCTCGATGCACGTCTGCCAGGATCTGCGCATCGAGATCCCCCGGCGTCACACAGTAGGCAGGCGGTGCCGTGGCTGACTGTGCTACCACACGCTCCCACGGCCCGCATCGTGATGGTCCTCTGCGGTCGTCGCAGCAGTGTCATCGTGCAGGGTTTGAGGCACGCATGGGCCATGGAACCGCATGGCCTTCGTTTTGTCGAGAGCCACATCCAGGCCCAGTAGGCGGATGCGTCGGACATTTAGCGCAGTGCCGACCGACGCCAGACAAACCGCCTCCTCTACCGACTTTGCCTTCGCTGCGACCAACGTGTCAAGTATCAAATATCAAATCGTTTATTGCATTCATGTAGTTACAGCGATGGTTAAATACATGTTATAAAGTACGTTACGTGAACCATGTCAGGGTATCGCAATACTTGGTGTTCTTATGAGTAAAATTTACAATAATCTAACATACAATTGTCGTCGGCAAAGCAGACGAGCGAGCGAGGAGGCGAGGAGCTCGATGGCGCAAGTGGTTAGCGCGTTCGGCTGCGATCGTTGAAGTTAAGCAACTTTCGCAGTGGTCGGTCATTGGATGGGTGACCGAAAATTACTATTTCGAGCTCCTCCGTGCTTCGGAAGGCACGTTATGCCGTTGGTCTCGGCTGCATCTGCAGTCGTTAGCACCCACCAATCCGCACTGGGCCCGCGTGGTGGGTCATGGCCCAATCTCCCTATTCCATCCATAGGGAAGGCCTGTGGCCCAACAGTGGGGACATTAATAGGCTGATGATGATGAAGCAGACAAACTCCGTGTTGGGAAGGAGGCTGCCTAGTTCCCTCTCAGCTGCCTCCTTCCGCAAGATGACGTCCACGCAGAAGGAGGATTCCGCAATTTTCTCGCGGCGCTATCGTCGCCAGGCCGGGCACTCCAACAAGGTGTGCTCGGCCATATCGTCGAGAGCGTCGCAATGATGACAGCGCGACGTCTCCTCCCGATGGGCGACCCGGTGCAGATAGTGACCGAAACAGCCATCTCCGGTCAGGATCTGCACCTTGCGGAAGTTGAGGCCGCCGCACTGGCGTTCCACCCACTCCTCCAACACCGGACGAAGGGCCTCTATCGTCCGGTGGCTCCCAGCACTGACCCCTAGGGTACCACTGCGGCCATGGCCCGAGAGAGCATACACTTCCATCGGGCCTCTCGTAGAGGACTGACTTCCCCTGCTGGTAGTCCTCCACGATGGCTGCTGGTATGTAGGCACGCAGTGAAAACGCAGTGCCATCATAATACACTCGTGGGGGAGACTGTTTAAGGCGTTGCGGATGTCCAGCGACACCGCAATAGCAGTCTCTCCCCGACGAGCAGTCACCTCGGTTTCGCCGGAACCCGAACTGGTGATCTGCCAGATTCGGGTCCGGCCCCTCCAGGTATTTTATTCACCAGCGTCAAATTGCCACTATATTCAGATGAACACTGATTATACAAGCCATGATGATACACTACTTAGCCTATTCGAGTGCTGTCAGCTTTCAGAGCGGTCAAACTATGGTAAGGGCATATCTAACGATTTGTGTATTTCTGTATAAATATATGTACAGTATATGTATTATGGAGCTCGATGGCGCAAGTGGTTAGCGCGTTCGGCTGCGATCGTTGAAGTTAAGTAACTTTCGCAGTGGTCGGTCATTGGATGGGTGACCAAAAAAATTTACTATCTCGAGCTCCTCCGTGCTTCGGAAGGCACGTTAAGCCGTTGGTCCCGGCTGCATCTGCAGTCGTTAGCACCCGCCAATCCGCACTGGGCCCGTGTGGTGGGTAATGGCCCAACCTCCCTATTCCATCCATAGGAAAGGCCTATGCCCCAGCAGTGGGGACATTAATAGGCTGATGATGATGATCATGATATGTACTCTATCCGTTACCCTAGTATCCCATAACACAAGCCTAACAGTGCTCACTTTGGGGCTAGGCTAATTGGTGTGAGTGTTGGAAATATTTATTTAGTAGTTATTTATTATATAGAAATATATTATTATGATTGTGATACTATCATTCAATATGATTTGTAGGTGATGCCACTAAAGAAGACATTGACATCGGCATGAAGTTAGGTGCGGGTTACCCTATGGGTCCGTTCGAGTTGGCCGACTACACCGGGTTGGACACGAACAAGTTTGCTCTACAAGTGATGTATGAGAAAACAAAGAACCCTGTATTTGAACCCATAGCTCTGGTGGACAAAATGGTGGCTGAGGGCAAACTGGGCATTAAAAGTGGGGAGGGATTCTACAAATACAATAAATAAACATTATATTGAATAAAAAATATTGTTGAAGGTATATCAGTCATTGTGATGCACCAATATATGATATATTATTTCTTGTTAACTTCTGAATTGTAGATAGGTATTTTGATATATTTTTTACAGTTTTCAATTTTTTTTTTGATTACAAGCATTTATTGTGAATTTAATATACTCAATCTATACTCAATGGTGGCGATTCTGGCACGATTCTCTAAATCTAAACTTAAATTTGACAACAGTGTATCCTTGTCATTCTCTATACAGAATGAAAAGGAGAGACTGATGTTAAATTTAGTTTTAAATTTAGAGAATCACGTCAGAATCGACACCATTGTCTAGATAAAATAAAACATTTAATATAAAACCATAAAGATATATATTTTGATCACTATTTCAAATGTTATTTTATTATAGTTTTAAAAATAAATATTTGTTTATTGAACTTTCGAAACATTCTAAATCAATAAAATAAATATATTTTATCATATTGGTTTGTTTTCTATTTATTTTAACATACAAATTAAAAAATTGCTGGTATATAAACATTAAGATGGTTATTTGGTTTACAAACTACATGACCATAATATACAGGGCCGGATTTAGAATTGTGGAGGCCCCGGGCCACTTAGGATTTGTATTCTTGTTAACAGATCGAAATGTTGTTATTTCTTAAGCTGTTGTGGAGGCCCCTGGGCCACAGCCCCACCTGCCCCGCCTTAAATTCGGCCCTGCGGGCAAGTACCACCCCACTCAGCCATTAAGCGATTGGGGTACTCCCTCAAGATGGGCAGTGAATTGGAAGTGCTTATCAGGGCCATTTGAGATTTTGATATTTCACTGATTGCCTGATTGGAGTGAACAAATATAGATCAATGATTTCTGTTATTTAAGATTAATATAATCAAATAATCATGTATGTTAGATGTACAAAGTACTGTAGGCTGTAGGTAAAGGTAAAAGAGCAAAAAAAAATTATCAAAGGAAAAGATGTTTACTAGTGTTTATTAGTTGGAATTTGAATGTTTTTTTTTCCGAAGTCTATTGTGGGGGCCCCCCGTTTGTGGAGGCCCCGGGGCTTTCGCCCCGGTTGCCTTCCCCTAAATCCGGCAGTGATAATATACACGCCGCTTGCTTGCGGGGTTGACAGGGCTTCAAGGGTACAAGACCACACATAAACGATACAAAATCTGGTACTGTTTTGGTAGTACATCCAATTTTTTTTAATCGCGGCGTGTTGGTTGAAGTTGTAGCGTATCATTTTATTTCGATAGCTCGATTGAATGTTTATTTTAAATAAATATTATGCCTGTGTGAGAGTTGAGTCGGAGCAATTTTTTTATTTGACCAAGTAGAGCGTACCATATCTTCCCTTTTTGATTCAATCTAAGCCTTAGCAGTGGAAAAAAGAGACAGGACGACTTTACTATGTATTATTTAAATCTAAAGAAAATATTACTAGAAAAAATTCCACGCGGACCAGGCAGCAGACGGGACTCGAACCCGCACCCTTCGCTATCCGGTCGAATGCACTGACCTATTATGCTACCGCGGCCCTGATGGCCATATCGAAATCTTTCTAGTCTTTCTAAAGCTGCAATGCAGCGCCATCTCTTCGCAATGTAGGTAACCCACAATGTCAAGTGATTATTATTAAAAATTTTCCACCAAAAATACTGTAGTAGCATTTATGTAGTATTTACGATATCTTTCCCCTTGCACTTGAATTTGTAACATAAACAATACCGTTTTATGACTTAATATAATCCCATTAATAAAGTATATAGATATACAGAATTGTTATCAGACAAAGTAGATAGATACTGATAAATATTTCAATTTCAATCAGGTAATATCTATGTGGCATACATGATATGAGTTGATAAAAACAGTGGCTACGGACAGGGTACTTTACCTAATTCCAAGAATCAACAGGGCATCCAATAATGTCATTGCTTCCAAAATAAGTACTGTTTATTCATAAAAGTAGGTGTCTGCATTATAGAAGGGGAGCCCAAGGGATTTTGGGATCGACCGCGGCAGAATAACATAAGGGGGCAACCTTGCACCTTGTGAAATACTCTTACCTTTTTTTGTACCTCCCAGGCGGGGGAGCGGCTGAGAAATCCTCATGGATACTCTACAGCCGGCTGCAAGGTTATGTCAGACTCGTACTGACTAAAAAAGCTATGGCTGACTAGGCTATTATCTATTAGGTGGATGTGTAGTGGGGGCGAGCCAGCGATCGGTTCCCATACAAACGGTCTATGATCACCTCCTAATTTAACCTCTTTTTGGGTTCTGTGGTGGTGGCCGCTTACCATCAGGCAGGCCTTACTCTTGTTTCCACCCTTTTTACATAAAAAAAACCCTTGTTAGGTAACCATATTGCCAGTAAGATTAATTATTTCACTGTCGCGCACAGACTGCTTGAAACTGCGTGAGAATGCCTATAAACCAAAAGTAACATCTGACTACCTCCGTGGCCGAGTGGTTTGTACGCCGGGTTTCATGGTGTCGCCGACTCGAGAGGTCCCGGGTTCGAATCCTGGTGTGGGCAGATGTTTGTGTGATGAATACGAGCATTTGTACTCCAGTCATGGATGTTTAATATGTATTTCTATATAAAAATATACTTATATATGTACAGTATATGTATTCTATCCGTTACCCTAGTATCCCATAGCACAAGCCTTACAGTGCTTACTTTGAGGCTAGGCTAATTGGTGTGAGTGTTAAAAAAAATAAAAAAAACGAGAGTTATGGCTAAAGATCTCAATAGCATAAAGAAACAAACCTATATATTTCTCCCAAAACATACGAAGCGTCGACAAGCTGCGTACTCTTTGTCACCTATAGTGTTAGAGTCTGTGCGGAAAGAGAATGGGCGTGGCGAAAAACGGAACTAACATTAAGATTTTTATTTGGCAATCAAACCCAGCAATCTGTAAAACGTCAAAGTTTTGTATTGATACGGATTTGTTTGTTGTTGTGATTTCTTGCGGTTTTTTGTAATTAATCATGTCTTAAAGGGGTAAAACCTTACAAATACGGTAGAAAAGCACTACAGCTAGGGATTGCAATCCGGAAAAACGGATCCGGTAATCCGGCGGATCCGGCATCATTTGACCTTTACCGGATCCGGTGCTACAATAAAGCCGACAAGTGTAGAAGCTGAAAGGGCCTTTTCGGCCGCAGGCTATAATATGCAGCTCTATTAGAAGTCGTTTAGCTGATGACGCAATTAACAATATTTGTTTTCTACAATCTTTTTTTCAAAATCAATATTGATTTTCTTTTAATACTTTTTTTTATTTTCTTACAATTATTAAATAAAAGAATTATTTATCGTAAGTTGATTAAGCTAAAGAGTTCTAAACTCATTATTGTGATAATTTTTGCCATTCATTCGTTCGTCAGATTCATCAAATTTGTTTTTTTGCATTCTTAAATACTTTAATAATGATTTAGATCTCATTTCAGTTAATAACGTAAGGTTAATTGTATCTGTTAGATATTATAGTTACTTGATAATTAATATTGTTACTCATAAATTGATCTATCTGTGAAAGTAAAATCTAAAAAGACTGAGCTACTCGTTACGCCGTAAAATTATTACTAATTACTCTTACACTACCAAATTTTAATTGTTTTCTTGTTGTCTATTTGTCTTGACATTGGTTAGGAAAAAAGTCGTTTCTATGTTTTTGTGATTTATATTTATATATACACTACGTACATATAAGTGCAGTGACACTTGATTAACTTAGTTATTTTGTACGAAAAACCGGAAATCATCCTGATTTGATCAATCCGGCCGGACTGAAAATGACACCGGATTGCAATCCCTAACTACAACGCCCTCCAATCTAAATCCCATTCTCTTACCGCATAGACTCTATCTATACATATAATAAAATGGTAGTAAAATCAAAACTGTACATTGAATATTTTTTCAAAGTATACTTGGGGTGTGATCTACAATCAATACCGAAGCCAAAAATATAGTTTTTAGAATTTTTATCTGCTTGTCTGTACGTATGTCCGGTATAAACTAAAAAAGTACTGCATGGATTTACTACATGCACGCACGCATATTATTAAGAAGTCGGGTCAACATATAGGCTACATATTATCAAGCTATCACCTTCGGGGAACGAGCAGTGAACCATTATTTATAACTAACTCCACGCGCACAAAGTAAATATGTTGTGGTTGATATAGTCTCTTCGGTGGTGTCGTGTGAGGCGGGTCGTTACGTTCCCTTAAATATGGTTGAGCGAAGCGATGGATGGTTCATGCGTCATGCTCGTGAACGGGTGCTGCCAGCGGAGATGAGTCTGCCCTAACTACTTTGATATTTAAGATGTAAATGTTTAATTAAGTACACCTATTATAAATAACTCTGTTTGTATTTATACTGTATGACACAGCAATCAAAATGCAGGTGAACAATTAATGTATAATTTCACATTTTGTAATTAGGGTTGCAACGATATATCGGAATATCGATAATATCGAGACCAAAATATCGATATTTATATCGATATTTAAAATTCACTGATATCGATAATATCGATATCGGAAATTCCAAAATATCGATATTTCGTAGACTAAATTTGAACACAGTAATATCAATAAATGTACCTGCTATGACTATCTAAATTGAATAATATCGAAATAAATATTGCTTTGAAATCGCAAGAGGTTATAGATGTATTAAAAAAATCTTGAACCCCAAGAAATATACTAAACTGGTGTGGATTCGGGCATGATTCTCTAAACCTAAAATTAAATTTGACAACAGTGTATCCTTGTTATTCTCTATACAGAATGAAAAGGAAAGACTGATGTTAAATTTAGTGTTAAGTTTAGATAATCATGCCAGAATCCACACCAACGTATATAGGTATAATCGTATACCTAATGGTAACTCATGTGCTTAAATAAAATCCTTGCCTCTCTTTCTAGATAATTGTCAACTACTGATTAATTGAAATTTCATTATAATTATAAAATATCATTGTAATATAACACAAAATCAAATTAAGAATCATAAACAAATCGTATTTTTTTTAAGCTCGCCAAGTCAAGAAAGTAAGATAGGTATTTTGGAAGCTTTGGGCTTACCCTATTCTGAAGCCATGGGCACGCCCTAACATTTTAAACAAAATAAATATCTTTGATTCAAAATTGCTTTTGATTTGATACTTCTTACAGCGCTATAAAAATATAGAAAATGTCTATAAACATCGTGTTGGAAATGTTGGAATGGGTGATATATCGGATCGGATATCGATATTTACCTGCCCACATTATAAATATCGATATTTCGGAAACCTTTGCTTCCTTAATTTTAGGTTTTTGCTTTGCAAACTTAATACAAGCAAAAAAGAAAAAAATATCGATATATCGATATTATCGAGTTAAAATGGTCGATATATCGGATATCGATATTTTCCTGACTTCGGTATAAATATCGATATAAATATCGATATTTCAAAAGACTTTGCCTCCCTAAATGAAAGGTGACTTCATGAATCATCTCTGAAGTCATTTTTCAACTTGACGACACTGTAAATGATAAAACAGGGAGAAAAAAACAGCCCTTGCTGAGTTTCTTGCCGGTTCTTCTCAGTACAAGGTCTCCCGCCGTAGATTTACGAACCGATGGCGTAGCTTCTAGACATTCATATGAGCTTGTAACAGCCTAAACTGAATAAATGATTTTGATTATTATTGATTATAATAATAAACCCGTTCCCGTACTGAAACAAACCTTTCTCCCGGAACAGGCGAAGCGTCTGCCCGTGACATAGACACGGCGATGAAGCTTGGCGCCGGTTACCCGATGGGTCCTCTAGAGCTGGCCGACTACACGGGTCTGGACACTAAGCAGGCAGTCCTCGCCGTGCTGTACCAAGGGACCGGAGACCAGGTGTTCAGGCCTATTGCCTTGCTAGACCAGCTGGTTGCCGAGGGGAAGCTTGGCAGAAAAACCGGAGAGGGCTTCTATAAATACACCCAGAGCAGCAAATTATGATTTGCCCACGTCACAATCAGTATAAGGCTCTTTCAGGGGCCCAAGCCCGATTTATTTTAACTCATCTTTTGTATGGATGGTGGCAGTTTGTTCTTACGTCCGGTAGGGGGCGCTGCTTAGTTTTCATGGAAACTTTGACGATATAATAATAATAATAAACGTTTATTGACTTAAAGCAAGTTACAATATACAATATTTTAAATTCATAATACAAAAGTTGGTGACAAGAGGCACATTGGAGCTTAAATATTGTTAAAGGTGACTTCTGTTGCCAGTGGTAGGATAACCTGTATTACAGGCAACAGGGTCCCCTCTACGTACGTAAATACTGTAGCCGATTTAGGTGTGCGCACATTGTTTGTATGATTACTTATATAGATATACTAGCTGACCCAGCGAACTTCGTACCGCCATAAAAAAATAGGGGTTGGTGGTAGAAGGGTGAATATTTAGGGTTATATGTATTTACTAATGCTGTATCACAAAAAAAAATAAAAAAAAATCTAAAATTAAAAAAAAAATAGGGGTGGATTACCCTTTACATTTAGGGGGATGAAAAATAGATGTTGTCCGATTCTCAGACCTACCCAATATGCACACAAAATGTCATGAGAATCGGGAAAGCCGTTTCGGAGGAGTTTAACCACAAACACCGCGACACGAGAATTTTATATATTAGATAAACTAGTTATAAAAACTACAGAAACCGACAATAACTAACTGCTGCCGTATTTGATTGTACAATATTTAAAGATATGCGATACGTTTACGGATGTTAAAGTTCGTGCTTGGGCTTCTGTATTGGTCAGCCATTCAATCGGTAGCTTTTGCGATAATTCCTTGATCTTCGCAATCGTATGTTGAACATGTTATTTTCAACGTCATCGAACTCGTCTCGTATCTAACCCCCTTATTAATAAACGAATAAGCTTGGATTAGTTACTCTATATTTTGTCTCTGTTCATTGAATGACAGATGGCATTTGAGTGATTGGAACAAAACACGGCGTAACTAGTCTAAACTTATTCCTCGTTTATTACTAAGGAGGTTTGTGTAAATGATTATTCTATTGATGATTAATTAAGTTTAGGTGACTGGTTTAAGAAATATATATATAAATAATTGTAATTTTGTTCGTTTTATTGGCGATAGATCATAGCTACCTATGTATGTATATACAGGGTGGTCCAACTAGTGACGTCAACAAATTTTGTGACGACAACAAAAATAGGCTGATTAAGTACATTTTTTTATGATATTTGGTAGTTTAGAAGCATGCGGAGTTTTTAATTTTAGCCAGAAGCTATGGAAACTCCTTTTTGTATTGAAGTTGAATCCTACTAAAATCTAAAGATCCGACTTTCAAGCCTTTTTTGAGTAAATTTTAGTAATTGCAGGGAGTTGAGTTATTTTTTATTAAAACAACATTCAAGACAATTATGTCACAAAAAAAAGACTGCAAAATACCTACTACGAAAAACGATGAGAATTTTTGAAACCTCGCTGGCAGAAATCATTAAAAATACACAAAACAAAAATTATAACTCGAAAACTAAGAAAAATCGCGGAATATACATGGGGTATTTTCGGGTGCGAGGAATCTAAAAAAAATGTTGACGTCACTAGTTGGACCACCCTGTATATATATAGTTTAAGCAAATAACTGGTATATGTTAATATCTAAAGAAAATTGTACTAGAAAAAAAAACACGCGGACCAGGCAGCAGACAGGACTCGAACCCGCACCCTTCGCTATCCGAGCGAATTATGCCATTATGCTACCGCGGCCCTGATGGCCATGTCAAATTTTTGCTCATGCTACGGGGACTGGTATGCTGATGATTGAAGGTGCGATCAGACCAGGGATGTAAGCGGAGGTAAATTTTTCGGAACCGAAGTCGGAGTCGGAATTTTTATATTTGATTTATCGGAGTCGGAGCCGGAGTCGGAGGCAGAGTCAGCAGTGGTCACAAGAGAGATATTTTTCATTTAAGAACAAATGAAAACATCATTCAATCAACCATTTTAATTATAAAATAACCTTTTTTCATTTAAATTTATTTACATACTCCCAACGCGACGGGTATGAACCAGTTGGTAAAGGTCGACGCAGGCCGCCGTCGCTATTCGTTCGCTTCGTTTTAATCGGAGATTAAAACCTCAAAGGTGAATGGCAGGGTACTATGGGAGTTTTGTACATGTATACAAATGTCATGTTTGGCAATGAGATTTGTTACACATTTTATAGATAATATAATTGGAAATAACGACATAAAATAACAGAATTTTAAATGTTGGGGTTTAAAAGTTACAATTGTATTTCAAACCATGTTTTAAGATTTATTTTCTCTGTATTTAACTGACAGCGACAGTTGACTGACAGTGACAGCTAATTATACGTAAACAAATTGTATATAATAATGTATTGCTACGTCGTCGTATTGTATCTCTCTATAAAGTCCTTAGACTAAAAAGAAATCCGTATTTGTAACTACGATAATTATTAATACCTACGTGTATGTGCTATGATATTAAAAACACTAACCCCCTTATTAATAAACGAGGAATAAGCGTAGACTAGTTATATGTATATGTACGTTAACATAGAACACATTCTCACTTATCACGCTATACTATATTATATGGGCTTCGCGTATACGCGCTATAGGTACTATATAGTATAGCATACTCTCAACGCGAGGGTATTGGAGTGACACCACAGAACACATAAAGATTAAAGAGGAGGCCAAAATTGGCCGAAACTTTTGCCGAAACCGAAACTGATTTCGGATGTTGTCGTGCACGCTCGCCTTACTTCGTTACTCGCACAGCAGTCCATATCCTATATTAAGAAATGCAGTTTCCTATATTGAGATAAAAGAGATTGATGATTCTTCTAAGTACAAATACAAACCAAAGTATTAATTAATTAGATTTCAAAATACATATGGGCATTTGATGAAGCAGTAATAATTTGTGAATTGATTATTGATAAAAATTTTTGCTTAATAATTAATGCTGAATAATAGGTAAAATGCACCAAACAATCAGTATTTTAAGGCATTTTAATCTTGACCACGTGAGTTTCGGTTTCGCTTTCGGCCGAAACTGAAGCCACGGCCGAATATTCGGTTTCGGCCGGAAAACCAGTTTCGGTCGGACTCTAGTATTCATAGACCAACCGCCGGCTCGCCCCCACTACACTTCTCTCTAATACATAGCCAATCATACGACGCGACATCAAACAATCGAACCAATCAACGCTCGGGTGTGAGCATGATCCTCGCACCAGTGACGTGTCTTAAAATGATCGATATTTTTATTAATCATTAAAAATAACTGTTTTTATATAAAGTTAAAACTTCATGCAAATATTTTAAGAAAATTAGAGAAGACTCCTTATATGATGTAATTCAACTCCCTTCAAGCTTTATTTGTATTTTTGTAACATCCTGTATGTAGCGACATCCCTTTCTAACTATGCTCTCACTGAGAATCTTTCTATAATACGGGCCTAAGTCAAGTTATGAGCATTTGCTCTCACGTGACTGTGGCGCGCGCGCCTTCCCACCCACAAAGCCCTTCTAACATCATTCTGTATTCTGTGAGTGGCACTTTTCTGCCGCAAGCAACAACAGCTGTATTTTGTAGTAATTTTGCCGTTGTATTTATCGTATTGATTGATATAAGTGAATAAATTCATGCATTAAAATTATAAAATCGTTATTCCTCATGAAGTAACAATTGTTCTGGTATAAATTTTGCTTAGTAATATTATCGTAGATAGGAGTAAATCGCAATTAACTTAAAGCGATTTTCGAAGATTTTTAAGTTTAGAATAAGTTTTTTTCTATATTAAATCAAAGATATTTCAAAATTCTAAGGCCGCTACGAACTATACGACTATATAGAAGTTAACATTCTCATTTTATTATTTAATTTGCTTAGAACAGTAGTTCAATCCAGGAGCTCAAAAAAGTGCCTTCGCGCATTTTATGAAAATCCTTCACTGCAATTTTGGGTTTAATTAAAAAGTTAAGCAAAATTTACAAAAAGCGAGGCCGCTGCGAACTAGGCCATTAGTTATTCTGCATTATTCAATAGGTCAAAATTGTTAATGAATATTTGTTTCTAAGATCAAGAACGCCAATTTACGCAAAAATCACAGTCGAAATGTAATATACCTCTTAAAACTAGACTCCCAAAAAACTAGACTATCTTCAGACTTGACGTCAGGTGTGGTGGTGAGTCTTGAATAAAAAAAAGCTGATACTCAAACTTATAACGATGCAGTATTCGGGTGTAACTGTATGGTTAATATAAAATTACAGTAGGTACCGAAGATTTAGAAACGCCGTGCCTGAGTTTTATAAACAGCAACTTTGAAAGTGACTAAAGATAATATTTACTAAATAAAACTAGTTTTTTACGGGTTAATGCACGAAACTTTATTTATTTGTTGACGTTTCGTAGCCTTTACTGGCTACGTCGTCAGAATCAAATTTCTATTTTAAACTAGAAACTAGTTTTATTTAATGAGTGATGTGCGTGAAAACCTAAGAAACAAATATATTTACTAAAGTAAAAAAGGGGCAAAGTGCGAGTCGGGCTAGCCCATGAAGGGTTCCGTAGTTTCCGTAGTTCGTTGTAACTTTGATCGATGTTTTAATAATAGTGTCTTTTTTAAAGGTAAATAGCGGTTTACGATTTATGACGTATTAAAAAAACTTCTTACTAGACTTTAAACCAATTATCGGTGCAAGTTTGCATGGTAATGTACATCATATATTTTTTTACCACTTTGGAAGAGTCTCTCGCGCAAAGTATTGAGTTTAGAAAAAAAAAAAGTATTAGAAACCTCAATATAATTTCTGAAGACCTATCCATAGACACCTCACACGTAAGGGTTTGATGAAAAAAAAAAATCTAATTCTAAGTATGGGGAACCGCCAAAGTTTATTGTTTTTTTTAATTTTTGTGTGATAATCTTAATGCGGTTC